GTTGTCAAGTTGACCTTATCTTCTGAGAAAGAAGGTACACTCCCTAAGGTGAGTGAGAAGAGAGAGAGAGAGAGAGAGAGAGAGAGAGAGAGAGAGAGGAAAAGAATGATCATCTTCCTCTTGATCTTCCCTCTTCTTCTTATCATCTTGATCATTATAATGCTCTCGGTGAAGAGAAGCAAAAATTAACTTACACCAATTAATATTGAAAAGAAGAGAAATTATTAACATTATCTTCCTCATCCTCATCTTTATCATCCTAATGTACATACCGGTCAACACTAAGAGGCTACGATAGTAACAACGTTACAATTATAAAGTTACAACGTTTTCCCGCCTAAAAAATGAGCACGTTGAAGTAAAGGAAACTTTTTCTTTCTTTTCCCTTGTTGAAACAGTAAAAATTTTTTCAACTTCTTCCAATAAAAATAATTTTGCTTTCTCATCCTCATCATCTTTCTCATCATCATCAAGGCCTAAGCTGATTCTCATTAACTAAAAGAGAGAAAGAGAGAGAAAAAAAATTCTACAAACTTTTTTTTCTTCTTCCCAAAAACATATGACACTAATAAACTATCACATTGAATTAGATACAATTAGATTTTCGTTAGCAACAAATATTAAGGTAAAATCGTTGCAACGAAAATGATAATTATCATTGGACTTCCTGCCTGAACTTTTAGGTACAATTTAATATAATTGATTCAATTTCCGTCCCTCAAATCAATAAAGTGAGAGGGAGAAAAGCAAAGTAATAGTAGTGAGCGAGAGAGAGAAACAAAAAATCAACTAATTACAATTAGAAAGAGTTAATTATAATTAAAACTATTAAAACAATTTTTTGAGGTCGTTTAGTTGATTAACATTAAGAAAGAAAAAATCGTTCCACTTTTTTTTCGTCGACTTTTGAGAGAGAGAGAGAAGAAAAAACCTTTCAAAGTTACACCAAGAAGATAACTGTAGTTCTGGGTAGAATTGAGTTAATAAGATGATGATGAGAGAGAAAAGCAAGATGATAAAAGGATGATGAAGGTAAATGCTGAGAAACAAATTCTAACCTTGGTAAATAAAATATGACTTCGCATTAAAAAGTTAATCATCTCTTACCTGGAATCTTCAACTAGAGACTTTTAAACGATCATTTCTACAATTAACTTTTCTCTTTAAACAACAATTAGCTGATTATCATTGAGAATTTTTATTTTCCAAGCTAAATTACATCAATTGATTGTTCAATTCTACTTCTATTTGTTAATTGTTCCTTTGCTTTCACAATTAGTTTCGTTACAACAAGTGAGAGTAATTATTTATTGATATTAAATTTTTTTCGCGCCAAAAAAATTGATTCTCACTACAATTTATTGGCACAATTAAAATTATTTATTTACATTCAAATTTTTGTTATTGTAAATCAATTAATTGTCTGAGTGATTTATTTGATTGTGAAATTAAATACAAGAGAAAAGGTTAATTCTTTTAAATTTATTTAATTTTAAATTTGTGATTTGTTGTTAATCAACATTCCTAATCGTTATATGGATCTAGTTAGTTTCGGGTATTAATTATTGCTCATTAATATTTGATTATTAATCACAATTAGTTTATGAGTTATGAGAGATTAATTTAGTTAATTCCCTATTTAGTAATTTCTTGAATTTACTTGAAAACTAATTAAATTAAATGGAATCTGGTTGAACCAGAATTAATATCATCTAATAATAATAATATCAATTTTTTGATTATCATCTAAATTGTTTGGGTAAATTGTGAAGTAATTAAATATTGTTATTTAATTGCTTTTGGGATGGAAATTGTTTTTCTCACCTTTGTAAATGTTAATTACTGTTACTATTTGTCTGATTATCAATTTAATTGTAATTACAATTGATGGTATTGTAAACAGATTAACAACAATGAGCAACTTGAGAGTAATTTAATTACAATTAAATTACCTTGACATGATCATAATTAAGATGATGATGATAATCAGAGGCTTAAATATAATAATTGTAACGATTAACTCAAACTAATCATAATCATCTTGATCAAACAAATCATTAAATATACTGACAATCAGTTAATTGTTATCAACCAATTTCGTTCATTAATCAAATCAATTGTTGTTACCATTGATTATCATTTTAATCTTAATTGTTATACAATGAATTTAACTGAGTGTCAATTAATTGACTCACAATTAAAAGTATCAAACAATTTAGAGGTTGAAAATTATAAAATATCATTCGAAAGGTCCAAGTAATTTGATCGCAATTATAATTAACTTTGATCCAAATTTGAACAATTAATTTTTTCGTAATCATATTGATTGTATTATCCTCATTTAATTACTTTTTGATTGTAGCTTAATCAGCTTAATAAGATCAACAATTAAAATACTTTGAGTGTTTTTGTTTTGTTTTGTTTTTCAATTAAATGTCAAACGATTAACCAGAAAACAATGGAAATAATTGATAATTACAATTAACTGATTAACAATTAGTACAAACAATCAAATGTCATCTTCTTATACAAATGCAAACAATTTAAATGGGTTTTATTAACATTTAATTAAATTATCACATTCAACTAAATCATTTACGAAACAATCAACTCAAAATCTTAAGTGTTTACCATTTATTGAGTTTCATAAATCCAATACTTTGATTAGTAAATTGTTTATGATATTATATTAATCAGATGACTTCAAAAGACTGTGTTAATAACTGTGATTAAGTTAATTGTTGCAATCAAATTGTAAAATGAAAATCAAAGTCTAGACCTTAGGAATCAATTATATAAAAGTTTTACTCATGAAAACTTTGTAAAATCAATAATATTAATACAAACAATTTGAAGTGAATCCAATCAAATTAAATCAACAATTAACCATAACAATCAACATCTAATACAATACCTATGATGTATAATAGCTTAACAATTAACTTAATGAAAATCAGATTTTTTCATTCCTTCTCATGATTTTTGTTAATAATAATCAGTTTGATGATCAACATGATGAAAGATATTAAATTGATAGATAATCAATATTTTTTTAATCAATTTGATTGTAAAAAGGTAAATCGTTTGAACGGTGAAAATTAGCTTAATCATTTCCGGATAATTGAATGATGATAAGCTGAGAATTGATGATTATCATCATGATGATAATTGGAATAAAACAATTTCTCTCTCTCTCTCTCTCTCTCTCACTTTCATTCACTCATCTTCATCATGAAAATAGACTTGATGAAAAACCACCAAAGGTTTTTCACTATTTGATTTAATTTTTTCACTTAATTGATTAAATTAACGTTTGAGCAGCTCAATTGATGATCATTAAGGTGCAACAATTAACTTTCTAATTGTTATTACACTAATTGCTTTTATTAAAATATTACATTTGTCCCTCTGTTTCAAATGATAATAACGATTCCTTCAGGTTATAATCATTATAATGAAGTAAATTGTTGCCAATGAAAAAAATAAAAGTCAACATCATCTGAGAGAGATGACAAATGTCACTGATGATGATGATGATGATGCTATTAATATAATCAAGTATCAACTGAAATGATGAAACTGTCAAAAGGCTGAAAATTGTGATTAGCTTGATTATCGTTGATTAGTTAAAGAGAGAGATGATTAATGTAAGATGAAAAGTTTTAATTTCCTTTTAAAATCTAGTGTTGAAAATTACGTTACCACTTCCTCCGAATGAGAGTAAACTTATTATCACCATTGATGAAGATGAGGATGAGGATAATCTTTAGCATCTTCCATTTGTTAATCGCACCGTTAACACGAATATTTTTCATCTTCCTTTTCATCCTCATCGTTCTTGTGATAATTTAGTCTCTCTCTCTCTCTCTCTCTCTCTCTCTAGTAGAGTTAATTGTTCTTGGAAGTGGATTAGGTTAGAGAAAAGAGGAGGAAGAGGTGGTGGAAGATGAAAACTCTGAGGAAATGATGATGATAAGGAAGATGATATTTTCTTATTAACTGATTAACTCTTATTGTGATAATGATTTGGGAAATTTAAGTTGAAACTGTTTTCCAAACAACCAAACCTAATAATCAAAGGGAAAACATTAACATGACTCCAAATGAATTAACATGATAATGATGATGCTCCCGCTGTTAATACCTTGATTAGGATGATGATAATGATGATGATGAGGTTGGAATGAAATAGCTCCAGGAGTGAGTTATATATTACTCTTGATTGGAATTTTTTTTTCTCTCAATAGTAAACTTTTAATTCAGTTTAAATTATATTTCCAACACTGAACCCGCCTTGACCAGATTCTGAGCCCTTAAGATACTGATAATCATGATGAGGAGATGATGATTATCATCAATATCAGATCAACTGTTACTCCTTAGCAACACATAAGACACTGATTTGTTAGAGTGACAATTAACGGGTTAATTGTTGCGATTGTTAATTAAGATTCAATTTATCACCAAATTGTATCAATATTAACACACTCATAATATAAGAGTAACAATTTAAACTGACCATCAAACTTATACTTACCTGGTCAGATTAACATTTAGATTGTAAATTGTGATAACAATCAACAAATTGAATTAATTAAATTAAACTGATTTTCATGATGATTGTAACAATTTATTTTCTTTCTTCTTTCTCCATGTTAACTTAAATTGTTACAACAATATTTTGACAACAAATTAACTGATCAAACAATTAACTACTACTACTATTACAATTACTTCAATTACTGTTTCCCTTAATAGTTATATAAATTGTATCATTACTATTAACACTTAGTCATGTCAATCAAATGACAATTAACTGTCAAGCCAAATAAACAACAACAACAACAACAATCAACTAATCGTAGTGATAGTTTAAATAATCACATTGAGATATTAAGATAATCATTGTAATTAAAATCATTAACTAACCTTGACAACCTTTAGGTCAACAATCATGATGATCATTAATAAATGAATATTAAAGAAAACCTTAATTTGATTGTTTAATCAGCAATTTATTTTCGTTGTTTGTTTCAACAATTAACAAAAAAAATGATTATATTGTTATTACATAGGCGAGAGAGAAACAAGTTGAAATTATGATTTGTATCAATGATTAGCAGACACTTGATCATGATTAGAATCAGAATTATGATTAATTTTCCTATGATTAATATTAAGATCTAGTGAATCGAGGTGTGAAATTCATGGTTCGATTGAATTGATTAACTAATATGCAAATTACAATTAATGAGAAGAAAACAGATTGCAATAGCAATTAAACCTCGTTAGCCGGTGCCTGCAATTAGTGATCACCATTTAAATCACTTGTAGGATATGATAACCTAGACATTTACCAATTCCATGGGCCAATGGATTTTACATGGGGCTCAATATGTGGAATACATAAATATATATTTAGTGAGAGAGTGAGAATTAAATGTTTCCTTGGAACGAGAAGAAAAATTTTTTTTTTCTTTTTTCTTGTTTCCTTTTCCTCTTTTTCATGTTCCTCTCCAAAGGAAATGTAAATCATACAGAGATTAAGGATGTTATCTTATATTCATTGTTGAATCATTAATCTCATTATCGTTTGATTTGATCTTCGTAATCGTGATTAAGATACGGATGATGAGTCTCTCTCTCTCTCCCCTGATATTTCATGGGAATTATCAACATCCAATCGAGTGACATCCGGTAAAGATAATGGAGACTTGTAGTTTAGCCTTTGACCTCTCGGGGTAAATATCGAGAAAATCAGGTCAACAGTAGATGAGGATGAGGATGATGATGGGAACTACAAGACAACAGCAAATTAGTAAGACTTGATGATGATGATGATGATTGTAAACAGTTTTGTCTAAATAGTAAAAAAAATATCAACGAAATGGTGACAATTAACTTTCCATTGAAACTTTTGTTTTCACCTTTTTGCTTCTTGTCAATCAACTTTGCATCTAGTGTTTTGCCAACCTAACAATTAACAGTTAATTGTATCAACACAGCGAATGACAATTTGTTAAAGTGTTTACAAACTTTAGGATTACCTTTTTTTTTCACTAAATTAAATCATCAACATATGATTAAAATGCAATCTAATTGTATATTATCAAACAATTAACGAAGTGTTTATTTGCTATTATCATGTTGTTAGATTTGTTGTGTGTTCGTTGTTGGTAAAAATTGTTATCAATGATTTTCCATTAGATTAACAATTAACTAAGTAGTTTAAATCAATTGCAATTTAAATACGTCTATTATTGATGATTAAGATTACGATCATGATGATTAACTTTGATGATGATGAAACTTTATTTTCTGCTTTTACCAAACATCTTGTTAACTTGAATACCTTGAATAAGTTAGTCAGTTGATTACAATTATCATCATCATCATTCATCATCATTCATCACACCAAATCATCATCATCATCCTTATAATAATCATCATCATCATCATCATCATCATCATCATCATCCCCAAACTAATTATCAGATGAAAATCTAATTGTATATTTATATATATTAATCAACATGAGAATCAAAACTTTCTGGAAATGACTTACAATCAATTTAATTGCTACGCACCCGCAATCAATTGTTGTTAGTGATAATTATGATTATATGAATGAAGAGAAAAGAACGAGAAAAAAAAGTTAAAACATTGAAACAATTTGTCTTAGATAAATAATCAACAATCAGCACAATTAAAAGACGAAGAAAAAAAAACAATGATAATAATTGCGAGTGAGAAAAAAAAACAAAGTTTCGTTGATTGCTTATCGTTACCTTGTAACGAAATCGTTGACATGATATAGTTTACCTGAGTTATTATTAGTTTATCCTGATGATGATTATCTCTAGTGACTCTAAATCATCATCATCAACATAATCTCAATGATATTTGATTAATTGTGAACAACAAACAGCAAAAAGTTGAGTAAAAAAGTGTTAGTAACTTTGAGATAATAATAATAGTATCAAGATATAAAAACGATTCAGCAACATGGAGAAAAAGTGGTTTCCATGAACAGAAAAACCTTCATGTTTTAATATCGTCGTCGACTTGATGTCCTTGTATCTGGTCAACGATTCCAAAAAGTTCTGAAGGATTTTGGAAGAAAAAAAAAGTTGCGAGAAAACGAGGGAGAAACGATGATGGAGGAGAAAAAATAATAGAAAGAGAAAAAGACAGAGAAGATGAAAAAGAGTTTGAAATAATTATCAAACTCTTTTTTCTCGTTTTCTCGATTTTCGTTGTAACGAAAAAAAAAACTTTTCTTTTTTTGCTTCACCGACGATTCAACTTTGCGAACATTTTAAGTTCTAAGTTTTTTCTCTCGATTGTTGACAATTAATTGGCATTGATTATGATGATTATATTGTTCCTGTCAATTGTTAAATTGTTACAATGTTTACATGATTATATTGATTTGCGATTAACTTTTTTTCTCTTCGTAACTACAATTTCGAGAGACATTTTTTCATCTTTCCAACCTTTTAATAGTTTCGTTAATTGTTCAACCCGAACTATTGAACCTATGGGATTAACCTATTAATAAACTGGTATTGAAATTTAACTGGTTTAACCTTAATTGTTGAGAAACACAGAGAGAGAGAGAGAGAGAGAGAGAGAGAGAGAGAGAGAGAGAGAGAGAGAGAGTTGATTGTGCGTTCACCTTTTAATTATTATAATTTAAGATTCAATTGTTGGCTACTAGACAATTTGTGAGCTGCTTTTAAATTGTTTACTTTCTGTTGGATTACAATTATAATGATCGTCTTTAAAATTGTGATTTTCTGATGATTAGGTTGTTTTAATTGTAATAAACTTGCCTTAGCTGCCAAAGTTATAATAATATTTAACATAATCTTGAATAACATCATCAACAGCAGCAATTAACATAATCAACAATCAATGTACTAATTAAATTGATCGTAAATTTTGGTTTACTTTTAATTGTTCACTTTTCTTGTCTCAATGTTTTTTGTTTGTCTCTCATAATGTTATGATAATAACTTGATTATGGTATTAATAATAGTTGATGTGTTAATCAGTTTTTTTTAACGATCGATTGATTGATTATTATGGTTAATTTTAATTATTTCACCATCTTTTTGGTTTCTTGGTTTTGTCAATTAACGGAAATGAAGATAATCCGGAAATGAAACAGTTTTAATTGTAACATTGAACAAGAGAAACAAATTGACAAGCAAACAAAAGGAAACAGTAACAATCAATTGATTATCGGTTATCAATAATCATGGAAACACATTTAAATTGTTAGTTAACTTACATCGTTGGCAATAGATAAACAATTAATCAGAATTAGGTCAGAAATTACAATTACAATGACAATTAACAGAGAAAAGAGAGAGAGAGAGATAATTAACTAATTGTAATTAGTTTGATCGAAATGAGAAAAGTTGAATGTCAATTGATTTAACACCAAGGGGAATAATTTAAATACTTTTCTGTTAACTAAACAGACACAATTAACGGAATAATCAATTGACAGTTAACTTGATTACCTGTTGATTTAAATGATCAACAATTTAAATTAACCAGTTGAATTAAGTCTGATGATGAGTCTTCCCCATAGACCAATGTTGATTGTCATCAAATCATCTGAAGTTTATTATTAAATTGTTACAATGTTAATCATTGTGTATGATTATTAATATTTATTATCAATTAATTGTCATTGTTTAAACAATCAGATGAAACAATATCATTTAATTGTCAATCAAATCAAAATGAAACATGTAATAGTAAAAAACAACAACAACAACAACAAAATAACAACAATTAATTGTGGCAATTAAGGGTAGACATCATAATAATAATAATCAAAGTATTTATTAATTGTGTTGATTAACTTGTTGATTAAGTGTTTAATACAATAGGGAAGCAAAAAAAGGGAAATTATTTTGATAACTAAATTAATTGTTACCATTTTGGTTAACTAATTGTGTAAACTAATACTATTGATCTGACCCATTGAATTTGAAATCAACACAATTTGATATTTGTTATTGTAATTTAAATGTTAATCAACATGTAAATTGTAACAATTAACTGGCTTATCGATCATAATAACATTTTCATTTTATCATCAAATTATACACAGTTAATTGCTTAATATTTAATGATAATTAAATTTCATTGTCTCTCTCTCTCTCTAATAATAATGATGATGATCAATCATTTAATCATAACATTGAAAAATCAATCTACCAAATCGGAATGATGATTATGATGTTAATTATGATTAACTAACAATTTAAATGTTGGGTAACATTTAATTTTTTCATTGGTCCATTGAAAAGATATCATAATAATAATCAGGCAAAAGCAACATGAGAGCCAAGAAACATTTTATTGTAACAATTAAGTTGATTTAAAATGTAATCATGATGATCATCATCAAGTTAATTAAACTGAAAGCCAGTTAATCCCAATATTGGTTAAATTATAACAAACTAATTGATGAATGAGGATGAATAATACAGAAAGCAAATGCTCATCATTCAATTATCATCATCAACAATCAGCTCAACTCAGGGAAATATGAATGAAATATTTTCCCTTTGGAACAATTTTTCACCTAATCAGCCAATTAAAGTGATGAAATTTAAATTTAAAGATTAACAAATTAGCAATATATATCATCATTTTCATCATCTTCATCTCTCCTACTTATTCATAAAGATGATGCTCATGATAATCATCATCATGTTGGGTGTTTATCTTTATTATTTCATCCTCATGCCAACCAGAATTCAAGGAATTCCCTTTTTGTTCATCTTCATATAATAATCATCATCCTTTTTTCCAGATCATCCTGAACATTTCATCCTCATCATCATGTATCCTTGTCAAGTTTGCATGGTTGCCTTTTGGAAATCCAAATCATCATCTTCTTCATCTTCATCTTCATCAATGGATTAAAATCTGATAGGTTTTGGGTTGAGATAATAGGGATTGGTTGTGAAAATTTCATTCCAATTTTTTTTCTCTCTTTTCTCTTACTTTTTCATTCAGACTTTTCCTTTAAATCTGTTGACCATTGGATTTCCCCTGTTCATCCCTCTCCATTTCAAGGTAATACAATAAAATTAAACTGATCACCATGATATTGATACATGAAATCTCATTCCAAACGATAATCACTGAACAACATGATTGTATTGGAAAAACTTTTGTTCGCTCAAAATTTTGATTCATCTTTTTTTTTCCAACTTTTCTCCTCATCTCAGCTCAAATATTGATAGTATTAGCTAATTATGAAATGAGACACACTAATTAACAGTTCTAATTAATTGTTTACTTGCATTTTCAGTCAATCAACAAAAGGTTAATCTTTCAAATCAGTTGAAATGATCAAGAATAAACAACAACCAGAATTGAGACTGAAATTGTAACATGTCTGTGAAAATAATCATAAACGTTGATAATTAAAATGATTTAGATAATAATTAACTAATCATTGAACAAGGTAACTCTTTGATTACTGTAATCAATAAAAAAGTCCAATGATTATCAGGTTAACAATCTAATATAATTTGAGTGTATTATGGTTATAATAATATACTTTGTTGAAGAAATGATTGGAAAACAAGATGTCATTTTAATCATTTAAATTAATCAGAAAGTTGATTAGTTTGTTGATTGTGAATCTTTTAATCAATTTATCTTTATACCTGTAATTTTGTAACAATTTACCTTCTCAAATTATCACAATTAACTTGATTAGTATCTCTCCTTGTATTTTGATCCTTTTGATTTCTTTTTTTTTTGATTTGTAACTTTTCAATTTTGATGAATCTTTGGTGTTGATTGTTAACTCTTTCAAGTTTGATTGCTGAATGAAAGCAAATTAAATTGTTCATTTAAGAGCATTTTTCCATTTTCATTTAGTTAATTTCTCTCTTTCTTTCAATTACTTGATTACTTTTGATCATTGTAATTGATCATAAATCAATTGCGATTTACGTGAGGGAATTTGCTCCAAGGGATATACAAATCTTGACACTGTTTGCAATATATTAATTGTTGGTTAATTATTCTTCAAGCAATTTTAAATTTTTTAGCAATTTACACAAAAAAGTAACCAGTCAACACTATGATGATGTTGATCATCATCATCATGGTCATCATCAGGTATCTCTCTCTCTCTCTCTCTCTCTCTCTAAGATCTTCCTTTAATGGGTCAATTGAATACATTCAATTCCAACGTTTTCCTGATATAGTTTCCTTGTTTTCCTTATCTTCATTTATCTTCATTTATCTTCAATCATCCACATCAACCACCTCCACTTTTACCTGTAAAAATAAAAGTTAATTAATACAAAATCGTTCAATTGTTATCCAATGTGAGGTAATTGCTAAATCAAAGAGCAGCTAAAACTAAAAAAAAATCTCACCAAAAGTTACTTGGGACTAGTAAACGATCAAAGATGGACACGTAGTAAGAAATTGATACAATTAAAACCGAAAATTAATAATAAAATTTAGCTAACGAAAAATTAACCATAATATTGATTGCAAATCGATATGAAATGATGAACAATCATCGATTGCAAGTAGTCATAATGAGAGAGAAAAATCAAATGATCAACAATATAAACAAAGAGAAATCAATTGCATAGATATGTGCATATGAATTAGTTAATCATCATGCTCATAAATCTCATCATCATCAGATCTGAAAGCAAGAGGGAGAGATGGAGAGAGAGAGAGGAAAGTACAGGTAAATACAGAAAAAAGAGAAAAAAACCTTGACTTTTTTCTTGTATTTCTAAAGTTAACGAAGTAATTAAAACTAACTAACATACATTAACTAAAAAATAATAAAGACACACAGAAGGCTTAAAAATCATTACGTTCAAATGTACGCACGTTCATTTACCTGGATTTTGACAAACTGCTGTGAGATGAAGATGAGATAAGATTGGAAATGATGAAGAAAAAAACATTACCTTTAATACAAAGTTACAAAAGTTGTTTGTTGTTCCTTTGCTCAACCAACATTATCCTCTTGCTGGTTCCCGCTCCTCCTTCATGGTTTACCTGGTGTAGGTAACAGGGTTTGTATCCAACGGGATATTTGCATTGATAATCATCATCGTCATGTTGATAAATGATAATTATCATGGTGAAGGTGAGAGTTGATTATTGTACACACTAATCATATGAACATCATGTTAATCACGTATCATTGGTAATTGTTTACCAATGAGACACCATACGTAAGGAGACTAATCAAATGAGACGATAATTGTTGGTAAACATCAAATTGTGGCCATTATTTTATCATATTTAAGGTTAGTCTTTGGCTTTTTTTTACTTTGATCCTGTTACCATCTACACATCATCATCTTCTTGCTCCCGTTTTAATTATATATTATCATGTCTAAAGTTAATTGGGAAAGAAAAAAATAATTAGCTGATTGTTAAACAATAATGATCAACAAACACACCAAGATGTTGATCTTATGTTTACATGTTGTTGTTGTTGTTTGTGTGATATTATGAAGGATCATTGTAGTAGATTTGAATAGCTCATTTTTGATGATGTTTGTTTGTTTGTTGATTGAAATGATGAAATATTTGAATGAAAAAAGGTTGGGCCTCATTTGGATTCCGTTTAAAGCTTTACGGTTTTTTATGTTGTGTTTACATGGTAAAGCTGAACAGGTCACTATGGCTTGGGAATTGTTGTGAGAGAGGAAACGATAGAGAGAGAGGAGAGAGAGAGAGAGAGAGAGAGAGAGAGAGAGAGAGAGAGAGAGAGAGCATGTGAGCTGAGCTCAAGTGAGAGTGAGAGTATAAGAGGAACCGTAGTTTGTCCTTGGAATCTTGAAGATATTCTTAAACTTCAGTTCTTTTTTTCCACCTCAAGGTTAACTGGGAACAAAGGCTTTTCCCGCCGAATTCATTTGAAAGCCTTGAAATGTTTCTCTTTTTCTCTTTAAAGATTTTCTGTGAAAGATGAAGAAGAGAAAAAGAATCAGTCAGATTTCACTGTGAGAATTAATTGAATGATGATGTTCCCTCTCTCACTCTCTCTCCATCATCTTGCTTCAAGTTGCATGAAACTTTCATCATCATGTTAATCTTTCTCATTTTCTTTGTTTTCTTTCTCTTCTTATTTTCTTTTCTTGAATGAGTTCTCCTGTATTTATTGTATTTTACCATGAAAATGTTGATATTGTAGTTGATGATGATAATGATGATGGTTCAGATACTTTCTCTCACCAAATCAGATCAAGGTAATCACAGTTTGATTAAGATTGAATTATTTCAAGTGTATCATAACATTAGTGATATATTGAATCAAATCAATTCTCTTGGTGGAAAAACTTTCTCCTTCTCTCCACAATTAACACGATAAACATGGAGAAACCTTTTTTGCTCCTATTAACCTAGAAAAAGAAAGAAAGAAAAAAAAAGTTATAAATGTCAAATTTTACGTTATAATGAATCGTAAATTATATCATCAAATATCAATTAATGATTAATTGATATCAGATAATATAAAAGTAAATATTGAGTTAATTAATTGATCAATGGGATATTCAATTAATCGCATGCCAGTTGATTAGATTGACTAATTGTAATCTGTACATTTCTGGTTTAACCAAAATGTTTAATTCAATTTCAAGTTAATAGTAACATCGCCTCTAAAACCAGTAATGTCAGTTTGACTTGTCAAGTTATAAATTGTATTATTACTTGAGATTAGATGATGAGCTTAAAGTGTAATAATTATTTAAATACCAATCAAGATATTTTATCAACTGTTTGTTTCATGTTGACATTTGGGTTAACTACATAAGAGAGAAAGAGAGAGAGAGATGAGGATGAGGATGACAAAATGAGAAGTGAATTAAGCTCAACGCGAAGTGAGATGAGAAAAGTTCATTAAACTTAATGTCCCTTGTCTTTTTTTCTCATCATCCTCATCAACATTTTCCTGCTCTTTCATTTTCTCTGTCTTTTTCCTCTAACACACATTGGCCTAAGATCAGAGATTTTGGCAAGTTTTCCTTTCTTTTCTTTCTTATTCTCTCTCTCTCTCTCTCTCTCTCTCTCTCTCTCTCTTTGGATCTTCTTTTTCATCCTTACAGGATAAGTACAGTTACATGAAGAAAAAGTGAGAAAAAGAAGAAAAGATTAACATGACGAAACAATCTCTCAATGAAATAATTCGTCTGTTGGAGTGATGATGATATCGGTGAGAATCACATAGACAGAGACAGAGTGAGAGAGAGAAAGAGAAGAGAGGAGAGAAGAGAGAAGAAGATGTAAAACAAAAGGCTCCAGAACACAGAGACTTGAAAAGTATGCAAGAAGTCAAAGTAACCTTTCCAATCTGAGTACATGTAATATTCAACTAATCTTGCAACTTCTATGTTTTTCGTCATCATCATTTCCATCTTCATCTTCATCTTCATCTTATCTCTCTTTCTGTATCATAAAATTTGAAATTTCTTTTCTCTCCTATTTTTTTTTCTCCAAATTACTATTTATATCTGCTCCATGCAATAGAATAGATAAGTTATCACATTTATCTGATATCAGTTTTGTTTCTTTCTTGTTGTATTTCCATCATCTTCCTCTTCGGGTGACAAGTTGATCATAATAGGTTGAAATTATCATGAAAGAAGATCAAACCAACAAGAAGATTGTCAAACAAACTAAATTTTCAGGGTCGAGAGAAATTACGACGTCTATTGAATCAGCATTGAGATTGAATATCGAGAAGATGATGATAAAAACATGATTATACCTCCAAAGGCTGTAACAGAAAAAGACAGAGAAATTGAAAGATTCTGAAAATGCCAAGGTAAAAAAAAGAATCATGTTAGCTAATTACCCAAAAATAAACTGTAGGTTCACAAGTTTCCAAATTCAAGTGATACATGTAATATACTTTGTCATCATCCTTAAGTGTGGTTGATATGAGAGAGGGAGAGCCTTTTATTCACATATGATGATAAAAAATTGAAAGTCTGATAAATATTATCCAATAATTTTTGACAGTTTGTGAATGTGACTTGTGACTTTCACCATCTTCTCCACCTCAACCCTCACCCTCCTTCTTAACTGTTAACTGCTGAATCAATTGTCAATCTAGTTTCGCCTACTGTCTGTTTACAAGAATTCATATTGAAGAGAGAGAGAGAGAAAGAGGGATACAGATGAAAGATGATGAAGTGTTTGTTGATGTTGAAGACGAGATGATGACGATTATGTCTGTGTGGTAGATGATTATTGTTGTTTTGGGATCAATCAGAATTTTCTTTCGCCACGTCTGAGGTCTTTCCATTTTCCTGATACACGCATTTCTATGTCACAGAGCGGCAGATAATCCTCCAGTGGAAAGTATAAAACCAACAGAGATATGTAACTTATGAAGAGTATCACTTGAAGTAGTAAACATAATTGCCTCCTCCTTGTCTTCCAATTTTGCTCCTTCTCTTTACTTTTGGCTTTGTCTTTTCCCTCTCTTTTTGCTAAGTTATTTAAACTCATTTCCTAGATGATCTATTGCCTCATGACCTTTACCAAAGTGCATATTTCACCGTAAAACCATAGTCATCAAACCGTCAACCACAGAGAGACATACATTTTCTGTCTAACTGTCGAAATATTCTGGTAAAATGATAATTTCAATACATCTCAGGCAAATATTATAATAAGACAGAAAGAGAGATGGGTAAAAGTTAGAGAAGTAAACAAAGTTTCAGTGCAACTTGTTTTTACCTCCAAAAATATTATCATAAGATATTGACAAATGAAACAATTCAAGGGGAGATTAGATATCGCATGTTTGTTTGTTAACTGTGATGATGATGATGATGATGATGATGATGGCGGTGGTGGTGGTGGTAGAGAAAGTTTCAAGTAATTGTGATTTGAAGCATTTAAACTAATACACCATAAGAAGATGATAAGGTTGACGATGATTGTCTAACATGGTAACTTTTTCCATTCCCTCATTTTCTTCTTTGTCACTTGTAACTTTAACAAAATAATTTCTTGGCTTTAAATCCTTCTCTTTAATCCTCTCTTTCTTTTCCTTTCTCTGTAGTTTGTTTTTTCTTCATCTCCTTGCATCATCTTCAGAATATTTTATTGCTGAATAAGTCGCTTGTTTCCTTTGTTGTTGTACCAAAAAAAGAAAAAGAAACCCAGAATTTCAAAAAACTTTACTTTCCAATGATGATGAGCCAACCAACACACAAACACACACACACTTCATTGTTTGATGTTTATTTGTTTTTCAATTAATGTACATCCTGTAAATAAATAATATTTGGGTAGAGGGAGAGAGAAAGAGAGTCAGTGAGTGAGAGAGATTTATAATTATTGAGTAATTTCTAAGAGTAAGCACTGGGAAAATTACTTCACTATTATTGGTACAGACAGACAACCAAAAGACTTTGGTTAATGATATTATCAAAATGATAAAATAAAAAAAATCACGGGTTAATTAAGGGCTTAATCAGGTTAGTCAGGTGAGACTTTGATCATCGTAATAATGAAACAATAACCATTACCTGAATACTTTCATGATGATTATTCATTAAAGGGAATGGTAACCGTGAAAAGAAAAGGCGAAGGCATCATCATCATCATCATCATCTTAATTATGATCATCTAGAACACCCACAACATTGTGTCAAGAAAGAAAATGTTGCTTGTTGGACAATCTCTAAAAAAATGAAGGGAAAAGAAAAGAAAAACGATTAATAGAAGATCAATTTTGTTCGAAGACCGTCATTATTATATTATTATTAAATTATCATCATCTGTTGATCCATTTATCTTATTCCAATTACACATTGTATCATCTCTCTTACCACCAATTGTGTCTGCACTTTTAAACTTTTTCCCTTTTTGTTGTAAAATTTGTATTGTCTAACAAGGATTATAATAAATCCTGCTGGGTTTTCAAGAGGAGAAACAAAGTAAAAAAAGAGACTAACCAATTATAAATCTCTGTATCAAAAACTGACCACCAAGGACTGTAATCATCATCATCATTATCACCATAATCGTTGTTGTTAATTAGGGAGATAGTTGAACATGCCAAACTTTCATCATGTACATTTGATTGTTGAAAGAAAGAATAAAAGGTTAACCATCTAATAAGAGACAGAAGAGTAAAATTAGAAAAGAGATTATTTAAGGTAATGATTATGTAAACATGAGCGAGAAACAAAACGAAAAAAAAAGGTACCAAAGAGAAGCCATTTTGTTTTTCTCCATCAAATCAACGTAACTTTTCACGGACAGAAAACAAAACAGTAACAACCTACTTTGGATAGTAAGAGTAATTTCCTAGTAGCTAAAAACAAACCTCAACAAATGGCTCTAAAAATGAGATGATAAATGGATGTTATTTAACAGGAAATTTAACACCTTGCAATTAATCACATTGTCCAGTTTTAATCTTTCTCTTCTCAAACTGTGAAAGTCTGTGTTAGAGTAAAAAAGGCAAGCTGTAAAACAAGGAGAAGATAAAAAAGAGGAGAATAAAGTTAGAGAGAGAAATTAAAATTAATATAAATGTTAATCATTTCAATTAATAATAAAAATAATTGAAGAGGCAACTACCTGTCAGAATGTAATATGTGAATTGCAAATGTCTGCATATGTTGGCGGGAAAGAAACTTGGCTCTTAAATATTCAATTCTTGTTAAAAGGGAGAGAGAAAGAAAGAGAGAGAGAGAAAGGTAAACAAACGAACCAAGGTTATCCAATTAGAGAATTTAAAACTTACTTTATTTTTATTCTTTCTTCCAATTCTTGGTAGCCCCAATTTCGTATTGTCAAGATTAACTGGATTAACGTGGAATTTGTTTTTCTTTATAGAAGAGATTAAAATTTGAGAGAGAAAGAGACAATTTAATTGAAAGAGTTTAAAGAAAATGGGTTCGCTTTTTTTTAAGAGAATTTTTTTTATTTTCTATTCTACGAACTACTTACGCCATCTATTGGACTTTTTCTTTTTCTTTTTCTTTTTCAAGTTTATTCTTTTGTCATTTAATAGTAGTTAAAAAATGGAGGCTCTGGCACAGAAAGAGAAGAAAGAGAAGAAAGAGAAAAAGAAAGAGAATGAGAAAGAGAAAATAAAAAGAAAGAGAAAAGAAAGAGAAAAAGAAAGAGAACCAAAACCAGAACCAGAACCCGAACCCGAACAAAAGTTCACCAGAACAATTTAAAGTTTAAAACTTTATTATTAAAGTTTAATCTTTTGTTCAATTTTGTCGACAAAGTCGACAAAATTTTCAATAAACTTTCTGGCCTCAGCCAGATGAATTTTCAATTTTAAAATTTCATCCTCATCAATTGATGAAAGTGATGGCGATGATTCTGATGATGTAGAAGAAGATGAAGATGAACAAGATGGAGAAGAAGAAGAAGATGAAAGTGATGGTGATGATTGTGATGGTGGAGAAGAAGATGTTGAAAGTAATGGTGATGATCTCGGTGATGATCTCGGTGATGGTCTCGGTGATGATCTCGGTGATGATCTCGGTGATGATCTTGATGGTGATGAAAATGAGGATGGAGAAGAAGATGAAGACGAAGAAAACGATGAAGATGATTTAGATGGTGATGAGGAAGATTCTGATGATGATGAATTAGAAGAAGATGAAGAAGAAGAAAACGATGAAGGTGATGATTGTGAAGACGATGAAGAAGAAGATGATGATTTTGATGGTGATGATCTCGGTGATGATCTCGGTGATGATCTCGGTGATGATCTCGGTGATGATCTCGGTGATGATCTCGGTGATGATCTCGGTGATGAAAGTGAAGATGGAGAAGAAGAAGAAGACAAAGAAAGAGATGAAGATGATTCAGATGGTGATGATGAGGATGAACCAGAAAAAGATGAAGATGAAGAAAACGATGATGTTGATGAAAATGAAGATGGAGATAAAGATGAAGATGATTCAGATGGTGATGACGAAGATCTAGATGAAGATGAAGATGGAGAAAACGATGGTGATGGTGAAAATGAAGAAGATGTTGACGATTCTGATGATGTTGAAGAAGATGAAGATGATGAATTTGATGATGCTGATGATTTAGATGATGGAGAGAAAGATGCAGGTGATTTAGATGATGACGATGAGGATAAAAGTTTTTTATTTTCATCCAACAGGATGAAAATTTCATCCAAATCACTGGATGAAGGCTCGAAATCCATGAGATTTCGAGCCTCTTCACAAAATTGATCATCAAAAAGATGATTGAAATCGTCAGGGACGAACGGCGGTGATGATGGTGGTGAAATGGGCTCAACTATGAGCCCATTGAGATTAACTTGGGGAACTTGAGGAACTTGGGGAACTTGGGGAACGGGTAGATCATCAAGATCAAGTCGAGGGAGGGAAACAATTAACTTTTTATTAATTTTAAATTTCGTCCTCAAAGCTTTTTCTAAAGCTCTCTCTCTCTTTCTTTCTCTCTCTAACTTTAAAATTAATCTAAAATTTTTCCCTCCCGTATCTTTTTTCTCCTCTCGCATCGCTCGACCCATTCTCACATCTAATGCACTTTGAACATTGCCCTTTGCTATTTATACCCAAATTGAACATTACCCAAGTGACCTAACGAAATTCCTATTTGCCCATGAGAATTTATTTTTGACCTCAAGTTATTATTCATCTTGACAGTTTGACCCAATTTCAAGTAATTTAAATTGCCTTTGACCCTAGATTTAATTGTTAGCGCGAATTTAATTTTCTCACGAGGTCAAAACGTCAATGTAATTGATGATTTTGTTTACGAACAAAGTTCGTGACCGGACAATAACCTTTTTCTATTGAATGCTATGGGAATAAACTATATTTAATATATCTATGTATCAATAGTGCATCTATATTAGTTAATTGTGACCTTAATTGTTGATTCTTCCCATAGACATATAGCGCCATCTATTGTATGGGAAATATACTAAAATGGTAAAAGTTTGTCAAGCCCCTGAGTTGAAGTTTATGGACAGCCTAGTGACCCCTATCGACGGCTGATGTAACTAAAAATCGAAAATTTTATCAAAGTGGCTTTAACATGTATTGGACCTATTTTTAATGCTTTCTATGTATATTTGATGGTTTTCAAAGGTTAAAAATTGTTTCGCATGGATAGAATACCCATATTATCATCATTATGAACCAAATAAATGGATAGAATGTAATTAATGGTTACCAAAATGCATTTTATTGATTGAATAAGTTTAAAAAGTTATAATGATTGTGATAATACATACAGTTGCTTATCACAAAAAGAGATAAATTGAGAAAAAAGTTTATAATAAATGATTAGAGCGTAACATCATCAAGATTATGATTGATAAATAAGTGATGTGTTAGCTTACAAAGAAATTGATTAAATGAAAACCTTGATGATAACATAGTCGATGACCTCGGTAATTCGAGCTTGCATTTCATCATCGACTTTAACTCCGTAGATGTCACCAAGTTTAGCCGGTTCGTACGGATTGTTGAATGATGGAATATTGAAATAACCAATCAATCCAGTGTAGATCCAATACATTTTACGGAGATCGGCTTTCGTAAAGTCTCCGTTATTGTCCTCGAGGTCCTTAATGTAGACCATCACTGCCTTTTGGACTTTTTTAACAAATTCATCAATTTGGCCAGGTTTACCTTCTCCAAGTTTGATGATTGTTTCCATTATGAATCGAATTGATGGGATGATTCGATAAAGCCCAGCAACCACTGTTATCGGGAGGTTGAGAATAGTTTTTTTATCACTCTTTTGTCGAGTGAACTCATATTTACCATTTTTCGGTTTACCAGTGAGTCGTAAACCAGTAGCTTTGAATTTCGGTAGAGGTTCCGTGTAGTTGAGATTTTGTTCAATATGGACAATCTCTTGATAACCAAGTACCAAACCTTTACCAGCGCCATAAACAGAATATCCATCACGGATATTGACAAAGAGAATATCATCTTTTTCCGCTTTTCCATTAGTTAGAGCACAATGATATTTATGAAAAGGTGATAACTTGATGGAGAAAAGTTCGTTAAAGTCAACACGTTTACGTTTTTTAACTTCCATTTCAGAGTCTGAACCTGAAGTATCATTGTCGACTTGACGTTTACCAGATTTATATGAAGCCATTTTCACTGTTGAAAATAATAGTTAAGAATGGTTAGTGTTGGGAAAAAACTGTATAACACAAGAGTAACTGTTCCACAAGTTTAGAGTTTGAAGAGAACTTTGAGACTGAACAAAACAACGAAATGTTTCTTCTTATATAGTCACTCCGACTTAAGCGACCCCTAGAATTTTCGGGAGCTCAAGTTGAGAGAGTAAGTAAGATCCTATCAACACCAAGATGAGAGTGAGAAGGAGGAGGACTGTATAAAACATCAGTTGTTATTCAACATGAGGATCGTAAACATTGTAGTTTCATATGAAGCGTCAATAAAACTTGACCCAACAAAGTACCCTGATTATAATCCAAAACGATTTAGTGGAGCGATCGTTAAATATTCTGGTGGTAAAGCTTTGGTTTTTTCAAGTAAAAAATTCACAGTAACTGGAACAACAAGTTTAAAAGAGTCCAAGAAAATAGCTGATGATATTGTTGGTGAAGGAAAAATTATCAAGAGAAAAATTTTAAATATAACAGGATCAAGTACAATTGGATTTGATTTTGACTTTAACAAGATTTTTTACAATAAACGTTTCTCCTGGGAACCAGAACTATTTCCAGGTATATATTGGAGAAAAAGTGGAAAAGGACCAATTGTGATATTTTTCAGGTCGAAAAAAGTTATAATCACTGGTGTTAAAAAGATCAAGGATCTTGACGCTTTATACAAAGATTTTTTAGACGATTTAAAATGAAAGTGATTAAACATCCAAATCGTGAAGAGTTTGTTTTTGTAAGAGTAAACGAAACATTTGGAGATTTTCGTAATACTTTGAGAAATGTTTTAAGAAAATGTGTAACCAATTTTATAATAATTCATTTGGAAAATTTTGATCAGAATATAATGTACCATCTCAAATGTAAGAGTGATCAATTTAAAAGAAATTTTGTAACTGTTAAATTTCTTATTGTTCCAATAAACTTTTTTACAATTTAACGTAATTGAATAACTGATTCGGGAATAATTATCTGTTCACAAATCAATTGAGCGATTCGAGATCCGTGATTTATCCGGTAATAATCATCACTAAAGTTGAAAATTACAACACTGACATTTTCTCGGTAATCAGAATCGATGATACTGGTACCAACAGCAATTGACCGATTATATGACAATCCAGGTCTTTGAGTAATTCGTCCATAGCATCCCGTTGGTAGTTCAATCTGTAAATCTGTAGGAACGACAACTTTATCTCGAGGTTTTATCATACATGATTTAGCAGCGTGAAGAATGAGACCAATATCTTGTAATGAATCTCTCCTTGGGATGATGGCTTTGTCTGAAAGTAATTTGATCTTGATCATCTTCAATATAAAGTTGATAAAAATAAATTAATTAACAACAAAATGTATTCCGTTTATTTGAAACATCCCTTTACGATGGTCATTTCAGGACCAACGGGAAGTGGAAAAACAATGTGGGTCAAACAAATGATAAATTCTTCTAAAACAACGAGTAATCCACCACCTAAAAAAATATACTACTTTTATGGAGAATACCAAGCAGTTTTTTCAGAGTTGGAAAATGTCAATTTCATTCAAGGTTTACCTGAGGATCATATAAGTAAATTGGGAGGAACAAATGAACCATCTTGGATAATTATAGATGATTTAATGAATGAGTCAACAAACAGTCAATTGATTGCAAATTTATTTACCAAAGGAAGTCATCATCGTAATTTATCAGTAATTTTACTTGTTCAAAACTTTTTTGCTAAAGGTAAAGAAATGAGAAACATAACATTGAATTCACATTATATTGTCATGTTTAAAAATCCAAGAGATAAAAGCTTAGCAAGTAATATTGGACGTCAAATGTATCCAAATAAGACTAAATTATTTCAAAAGATATTCAACGATGCAACGATTGCTCCATATTCATATTTATTTGTCGATTGTAAACCAGATACACCAGAGGAAATACGATTAATGTCCAACATTTGGACTTCACCAATAACTGTTTATTCTATATAAAGTATTTTTGATTGATTTGTCAAATAAAAATGGGTCTAAAAGGATGTATCGAATGTTTACCATTACTTGAAAAACTGTTACAACTCCGAAATATTCCAGACTTTGAAAAACTATTATTAAAGTGTTCAAAAAGATTAATTTATACAATTTGTGAAATTATTCGTAACATTTTACTTGGTAATATCCCAATTAAACCTAAACATAGACATAAACTGAACCAATATAAAGATTCATTACGTGAACTTAGTAAAAAGTCAACCACACTGAAAAGACGAAGATTATTATTATCCAAAACTAGTGGTAAATTGTATACAACTTTGAATCCAGCATTATCGTTTTTAACACCTAAAAATGAACACGTTAACAAAAATGGTTCTAATACCAGAAAATGAGTATCTACAATTAAAATCTCAAAAAACTGATGCAATTACAATTGCGTTGAAACAACCATCTTCCAATTTAGTGAAACAAGCTTCATTGTCAAAGATTCTCAATAAACCAAGTGAAAATGTGATTGATTTAATCAATTCAAATCATCCGACAATTGTTAAAAAAGAAGAACCTGAAGAAGAATTTGAAGATGCATTGGAATCACAACCTGAACCATCAATACGTCAAGAATTGAAAGATATTATCAATGATAAAGGTCAAATTTTAGACGATAAAAAAGAACCTATCCCTGAAAGCAATATAAATGATTTACTTCAATATTTCAACAACTCTGAACAACGAAAGAGACGTAAACCACTTGGATATAAGGAAGTGATAAACGAAATAACAACAAAGAAGGCTAAAGTCGATATAAAGAATAAAGAGGTTAATAGACATTTACGAAAGTTACAAAAAGGTGGTGGAAAAATTACATGGAGCGAATTGAAAAAGTTTTAAGTGAAATTTATTATGATCCAGTTCATCCAGCGTCTTTTGGGGGTGGTTACAAACTTTACTATGAAGCTAAGAAGATTTTGCCTGAATTATCAATTGCTAATGTCAAAAATTGGCTTAAAAAACAAAATACATATTCTCTTTTCAAACAAATAAAAACAAAATTTAAAAGATTACCAATTTTAGCTGTTCACATTGATCATCAATGGCAAGCTGATTTATTAGACATGACTTGGTTTGCTAAATATAATGATGGATATCGTTATATTCTAGTTGTTGTTGATGTGTTGAGTAGATATGCATGGGCTATTCCACAGAAAGATAAATCTGGAAAAACAACTTCGGATGCAATGGAATCAATTTTCGATAGTGGTAGAGTCCCAAAGAAAATTCAAACAGATCAAGGAAAAGAATTTAAAAATAAAATTTTTAAAGATTTAATGGATAAATATGGAATCAACTTTTTTACAACGACTGAAGGTGTGATTAAATGTGCCATTGCTGAGCGGTTCAATAGGACATTAAGAAGTCGAATCTATCGATATTTATACCACAACAATACAAAGAGATTCATTGATGTTTTACCATCAATAATAACTGGATATAATCGATCTTATCATCGAAGTATAAAAATGACACCTCAAGAAGTAACTAAAGACAATGAAGCAACTGTAATTAAAAATCTAAAAGTGAAACCAGCTAAAAAGGTTGTTGATAAATTAGCAAACGAAGAATTTGTTCGAATGTCCCGTGAAAAGGGTGCATTTGAAAAAGGAACTACTGAAAATTTCAATGAAGAGATATTTAAAATTGTCCAAAGGAAAAAGACTCCACACAAGTATGTTTATCGCCTTAAAGATTTAGATAATGAACCAATTACATCTATATTTTACCCAGAAGAACTTGTTGCTGTTGATAACCCTGGTCAATATAAAGCCAGAGTTACTGAATATATCCAATCAAACGGAAGAAAAAAATATTTAATTCATTACATTGGATACCCTGAAAAGTACGACTTTTGGATAAATGGATAAATTGACGTTAATTTGTAATACAGACTCGTATAATGACTTTAGTTTTACTTTAGATGAAAGTATCAACTTGGATGAAAATTTCGACTATAATGTTCACGTATCATCATGTTCATATGGATCAAAATATAAACAAATGCAATCAATTGCATTCACTTTCGATGGTGATGATAAACTTACTTCAATACGATTTTTAGATGATCATGATCCAAAAAAGTTGGTGGATAATCTCAACAATGCAATCTACATCATGCTCGCTAAGCATAGAAAAACTCATGTATTACCCATTTTTGGATATGACAATGGTTATCTTCAATGTGGTGTGATCAATCATACCAATGATATTACTGGAAAGTTTGTTGGAAAGAGATTCACCTTTTCTACTTCTGCGAATTCTTTTCTAAGTGCTATTGGTTTCAATCTCTATGGATTAAATGAGTTCATCGCTAATGCAACATTTGAAGATAAATATTATACATTTGCACCGTATGAACTTGACCCCTCAGCTTTAATTCTTTATGCAGACATCGCCGCTAAACCTCTGTGTGTACTACCTAGTTCAAAAGATTATATACAATTTGATGGATCGTATAGTGTACCAGTAACTAAAAAATCATTCGGTACCATTATTTTCAAAGCGATAGGTTCTACATTTACAAGATTGAAAGATTTTCGACGAATGGATCTTGCGGTAACATTGATAATTACTAAACAATATAAACCCAAACAGACTCTCCAAAATACAGAGCTAAAAGTTGATTCAAAGTTGTTAGATGTTCTTCATATGATTGCTGAAAATGTAGGACAACCTAAACCAAAAGCTGATTATCAATTACTTCAGAATCTTCAAACAATTGCTGCAAATATATTGGAAATCAAACCAAAGACCAATTTTGAATTATTGGATATTCTAGGTAACATTAGTAAAACTCTATCACAAAATTCATCAAAGTCTGATGTATTGGATGTTCTCAAAGCCATAAACCAAACAATCTTGGAAGCAAGACCTTTAGTATCAGTACTATCATCGAAAACAGCTCCAGATCAGACGGCTGTTGTGTCCCAACCTTTTAGAAAGAAACAAGAACCCCCCCGAGAACCAAAACCTAGTATCATATCATCATATAATCCAGCCGACGATGACTGAATTTACGATCGACTTGATTTCAAATGCATCAGTTCACATTCATCCGGAAAATAATCTAACTTCATTCACAAATGAATTATTGGTCCCTATTGAATTTGATCGAGAATATGAATGTGGTATAATAGAACTTTTTCATCCTGCGTTACTTTTTAGTAAAAAAGAAAACTTCATTTCAAGTACAAATAAATGCGGCTGCTATATTTGGAGACTTTGAATTGATTTATAAACATGAAGACACAATATCTGATATTTGTGACCAAATAAACAAAATAATCAAATCTAATCCGGAAATATCAACTATCGCACAAATGTTTGAAAAGACTACACTAGTACAATTACCTACAATTGGTTTAATTGATCATGAAAATAGTAAAAAAGTTAACATTACTCCAGGATTTATCAATTATGAGAGTGTTACTGGAACAAGAATGAGTGCATCAATGAATATTGTTTTCAAAGATCCCAATTTTCTTCGTTTACTTGGATTCGAACCCGCTGACTATTTTTTACAACCTATTGATAAGAGTACAATTATTGTAGCAAAATCTTTCTACGACAAAAGACATATAAATAACTTGATGTTTATTTATTGTGACATTGTAGCTGAGCATCATGTTGGTGATGCAATGGCCAATTCACTACGAGTCGTCGCTCTATGGAAAGAAAAAGAACCAAGAGTTTTTGGACATACATTTATTAAACCAATTTACTTTCCAGTTCGACACCAAAGAATCTCCAATATATCTGTAATGTTACGAGACGAGACCGGAAGCCCAATAGCTTTCGATTATGGTACAGTTTATCTTTCATTACATTTTCGACCTCGAAAAAACTCTATATAAAGCCTGAGTTAATTTTAATAAAGTATAATCATGTCTTCAAAACGAAAATATTGTCCTAGTGATTGTAATTTACGTGCTTATTATATTAATCAAGCTGGTGGTGGGTTAAGTGATATAAAAATCTATCGTGGTTACCCTTATCAAGCTGGTGGACTTGGTTTTGGTACAATATTAGGTAGATTTGGGATTCCTTACTCAAGTTTTAGGTAAACATTTATTATCAACTGGGATGGCAGTAGGTGCCGATGTCTTAGCCAATCAAAATTTTAAAAGTTCTGTTAAAATAGATTTAAAGAAGGATCAAAACTGCCGCTAAAGAAGGTCTCATGAAATTATCTAACGTTGTAGATCAAATTGGAACAGGAAGGCTATATAAAGCAAGAAAACGAAAGAAAAAAACAAGTCAAAACCCCGAAAGAAAGTTAGAAAACCAATAAGAAGAAAAGTTAAACGAAAGACAAGAACTGTAAGAGATATTTTTAGATGATGGATTACTTACATCATAAATCTATTCCTGCTACTTTATCAAATTTGGAAGTTTTTTCTGTACCTCCTACGCAACTTGCTATTGAGTCTGTTTATGATGTGACTTTTCGACCGACTTCAACCTTAGATAACGCTACATCATATGATATTAACATCCCTCCAACAGAAGACTTTACCGATTTATCTGAAACAATTATTCATGTCAAATTGGATATACAAAGTTCAGAAAATAAAAATCCATCTACCACTGATGACATCAACGTAATTAATGGATTTGGTACTTGTTTATTTGATCAAGTTGATTTATACGTTGGTTCAGTTAATACTACTCAAGCTAATGGTAGATATCATTACATTGCTCACATTGAAGATTTAATTTTCAAACACATTGGTAAAGCTGATGCCGCTGGGACTCTATGGGATGAAGATACAAATCGAAAATCTAGAATTACAAAACCATTTGAACTTTATTTCAAATTACATTCACCTTTAGCTTCTCAAAATAATTTATTATTGAATAACCTACCACTTCAACTCAAATTTTCAAGAAACAAAAATACATTTGGTTTGATTGGTAATCAATCTAAAAAGTTTACAATCAAAATTAATGATCTAAGTGTTCATATACGAAGAGTTAAACTATTTCCTGACGCTGATATTGGAATCCAAGAAGGTTTACAGAAAGCTCCTACTAATTATTTCATTACAAGGAATTTAGTAAAAACATTTACTATTCCAGCTTCAAATACAACAGCAATATTTGAAAATGTTTTCTCAGGTGTAATGCCTAGAAGAGTTATTGTTGGTTTTGTAAGTAATGATTCATTCAATGGAAAAGAAACTGAATCACCATTTAAATTTCAAAACTTTGAACTCAACTCAATTGGATCACAAGTTAATGGTGTAAACATCCCTTCTCAACCTTATGAACCTGATTTCAAAAAAGATATGTATTTGAGAGAGTTTATTGATTTGTATCGTAACACTAATCAATTCCATGGATTATCAATGTTGAAACTAAAGTACGATCAATATAAAGATGGAAATACTCTCTTCGCTTTTGATTATACTCAAGATGGTACCATTGGTTCAGAATCTGGAACATTAAGTTTATTGAAAAGAGGAACTTTAAAAATTGAAGCTAGATTTGGAGAAGCTTTGAAATCACCGATACATATGATTGTATTTGCTCAGTTTGATAACCTAATTCAGATTGATAAATATCGTAATGTAACAATCGATTGGTAATCATGTTGACAACTTTAGATCTGATTCATTCAATGAAAAAGGATAAAGATTTTTATGGTGTATTCCCACAAAATCGTTTACCTTATGTCTTGTTACCTAAACCATTCAAAATTATTGTCAATTTAGATGAATCATGGAAAGACGGAAGTCACTGGGTTTCTATTTATTCTCAGAAAAATGGATTGACAGTCTATTTTGACTCATTCGGAAGACCACCAACATCAGATATTGAAACTTTTATCGAAAGAAATAGCCCTAATGGATGGTATTACACGGAAAATAAATTACAAGGTGATTTAAGTACGTTATGTGGATTTTATTGTATAATGTTTCTTAAATATTGTCCAAAGGTTACATTGTTTTTTGACAAATTTCAAAATTGTTCAGTTACAAATGATTACAAATTGATTAAATACGTTTAATAATTTGAATACCTTCCATTTCTGTTTGACAAACAATTTCTTGGGGACCGTGTTTTTTGTGGATAAAATTTTCTAGGATAGAAATGTAATTGTATAACCCTTGATTAATTGAAATAACATCTGCTGCTCTGGCTATATTATGGTTCATCTCTCTTATTGTTGCATCTCTAGTAAAGACTTTAACTCGTAATTCTTTATTTTCTGCTTTTATCTCATCATTCTTTGCAAGTAACAATTGACAGAGTCTCTCAAGTTTCGCATTACGTTCAATAAGTAAAGCGTTTTTTTCAGCAACTTCACGGTGAACCACTTCGAGAGCTAATGCTAATCGTGAACATTGACATTCATCAGGACATTTAAGACAAGTAGTTGAATAAACTGTATCATTTTCAAGAGACATTCTGTTTAAAAAAGATGTATATCAATTAGTATTAATCGAGTTTTCTTTTCTTGGTAAGACGTTCCATATCGACATGAAAAGGAGCTGTATTAGTTTGAATGAAATCTTCCAACAATGAAATATATTTGTAGAGATTCTCAATAGTTTGGTAAGATGGAGCAAACTTTTCTCTATGGTCTTTGTATTCTTTGATAATTACTGCTTGTAGAGCCAATCTCAATCTTAGTTCAGCATTGGTTTTTCTCTGTGTAAGTAATTTTCTTTCAGTTACCAGTAGATTTCTCGCTGTACGATGTGCATGTAAAACTCCATCATTAATTTTTTCTAGCATATCATTTCTCCATTTAGTCTCTCTGTTTACGACTTCTAAAGCTAAGGCTAAACGTGAACAGTTACATCCTGCCTTGTGGTCAAACTTTTTTGAACTTTCGAGAGACATACCTTAATCAGATGTTGGTTCAGGTGATGGATTAGATGAATTGGTGATTGATGAATTTGGCTCAGACCAACTGGAAATTGTCGATGGAACAGGAGAGGTTTCACGAGAAGGGTGGTAAGACCAAAGTAATAATGAAGTTGATGATCTTCCAGATGCAGTAGATTCCGATAATGCTTCTCTGTAACCTTGAAAATCAGCTTCAGTCCAACGTATAGGAATAAATTCAGGTTCACTTTCAGATTCACTTTCAGAGTTTAATAATGAATATGTTGACTCTACGGTTGTAGTACTACAAGTTGAAAAGTTTGATGATATTGATGAAATTGATGAACAAGGTGATAACTGTTCAAGTTCACTTGATGATGATGATGATTCAGAAGAATAACTACCTGGAGGTAGAAGGTCTCTTGGATCAGGGTTATCGGTTGTTATAAGGTTGAATTCTCGAAAAACACCAGAAGGAACAATATAACGAATATTAATTGGTGATGAGACAGGAGTAGAATAAATTATAAAGTTATTAGTGTTGTGGTTGTAATTAAAAAGAGCCAGCTTAAAAAGATAGTTCAGAAATTTGATTGAAGAAAGATGATTCAATTTCACTTTCACTATTGTTCCAATATCTTGATGGTTTCACTGAAGTTTTAGATAAAGACTTAACACTCCAATGTGATCTTTTCTTTTTCAGTGGTTTAAATGATTTAACAGGAACAGTATAATTATCTTCACTTAGTTTAAAGTCGGGAAAGATTTGAATAAAATCTTCAAGTGAGAGAACAATGTTTATAAAAGAACTTTGTTGATTAATCGAAGCCAGGGTTCTTCAACACATTTGAAATAAAAGAAAACAAAAATCAATGAATAAATCACAAGCAGATGAAAGAAAAAGATTATTAGAGAAAAAAAGATTAAACACAAAAGAAAAAGATCATTAGTTCACAATCCCAAATGGTATCAACATAATTCAAAAGAAAATAAGGGAAAAAGATAATTATCACCAGATCACTGAGTTTAATAAAAATCTCTTACCTCAAGTGTTGTTGTACCAAATGTCCGATGTAATTTAATCCAAAATGGAAACAATAATCCAAAGTTGTAAACACAATTAATCCAATTGGTATAAACACAATAAATCCAAATGGTAAAAGATGAACTAAAGATGTTTACAATAAAACACTAACAAAGTAAACTATCGATGATGTTTAAATAACTTTGATACTAATTGAAGTTTACTCACTGAGGGTATAAACTATACTGAAGAAATAAAATATAAATGTAGAATATATATTATTACTAAAAAGAAATAATAGAGAGAAGAAAATTTTGTTCTATTCTGAACTAAAGAGAGAAGTTAACTGATAAAAATTTTAAACGAAATAAACTTTGCAAAGTTGATTTTTACTTTAGCTCCCTCGCCTATGTCCGATAGACGTTTGCTCCTAACGCGCAGTGACGCCAAAGAGGATTGCCCTATAGCGCGTCAGTAAAATTTAACTCTCCACCTATTTTATCTTCCTAACTTTGTGTGTACTCACTCAAGTCAAAATTGCAAGTTAGTTTATGTTGTTAATCTTTAACATTATTATACTTTAAACTTTCTTGGAATAAACTTTTAGTTTTTTTAGATTTAGCCATGTTTAAGTATATATATTATTTAGTTGTTTTTATAGTTAGTTATATTTTAAACTCTCAATTAAATAAATGTTTCAAACAGTGTTCAACTATTAACTCAGTCAACAATTACAACTTGTATGAAATTAACTATTCATCTTTAAATCAGTTTCCATCATTCAACTTATCGGATTATTGTGAATTAAACCATTTGGATTATTGTGATGTGAACCATTCGGATTATTGTGACTTTAGTGAATTCAACAGATGTATCAACACTTGTTCACATGATCTGGATTATTTATTGGTGTTGATATTACTCGTGATTCCAATCATCTTTATCATTACAATTAAAAGTTATTAAAGTAAGTAAACTTTATTATTGATTAAGTGTTGAATAATGTCCAAAGGCATGTGTGTATACATTGTCTATAGCCCATCTTTTATCATCAAGTGGACTCAGTGAAATCTTTTTAACTTGTATTGCTCTAATCTTATGTTCTTTACTTTCTAATCTGTGATTAACATTATAAAATATCTGTTCGTTGTACAAACAATTATAATACTGGTCTCTTGTCAATTGTTTTTCAACTATACACCTTTGTGTTCCTTTGGATCTTTTCTTTTCTCCATCATCTGATACAATCACATACATTTTGGATTTTAATGCAATGACTTCATGTATTTGTGATCCATTCATTTCATCCTTTAGGTATCCAAGTTTCTTTTTATTTTGTGTATTGTAAAGCCAATGGTCTTCTGGATAATCACAAAAGTCCATAATGTCCTTGAACTTTTCCAAATCTACATGTAAATCTTCTGTTTTCATGTGATAAATGAAACTATCCGTGTCAGTATACAACAGTTTGATATTGTTTCCATAATATGACTTGAATGTATCATAATGTAATTGATACATGTGCAGTTTTGCAAATTCCAAGACACTAAATCCAACAGCTATTGGTTTGTCTAGAACAACCTTTGGTCTTCGAAGCTTTGCTATAACAAAGTTTTCATTTATAATTGAAAACTGATCAAACAAAGGTTTGTTTACAACTTTTTTTATCTGTTTTTGGTTCGTTAAAAATATCACCTTTGAATGTTTTCTCTTGTTTTCAATACTTTTCCCATAAAGTGAATTAACCATTAGTTTCCAAAAGTCTTTTTCGAAGTTTGTCTTGGATTGTTGTCGTTTACTTGTACACAAATCTATGTATGGTTGTAACCATGCAACTTCGTCAAAACTAATTATCCTGTGAATCTTTTCCAATTTCAATCCTTTGTCCATGTAATACTTCAAATTACGATAATGAATAACATATTTTTCCTTTTTTAATAAATTTGGTGTCAACTTTTTACCAGCAACTCTCTTTTTACCCATCGATTCAAGTTTTTCAATTAATGATGTTTGGTAAGGACTCAAATGTTCTTTTTCGATGGTCATCTGCTCAACTGCCAATGGATAATCATCATGCCAGTCATGTAAATCTTTTGGATAATCCAAATCAACCTCTAATATATATCCTTTTTCTGTAACACCTTTTTCTATTTTTTCCAATATTGACGGAAAGTCTTCTTTTTCTTCCATTTTAAATTTACCATGTGGAAGTTTTTGTCTAAGGGCATACCCATAAAGATTATTAACATCTAAATAAGTAATAAAACTTTTTGGTTCATTTGAATTATAATCAGGACAACTTGAATTATTTGCTTTAGCATGTCGTGTCATTGCTGATGATACACCACCACGAATACCATTTTCAATCATCATCAACATATCAATATCGGTTATATGATCCAATTTGACTTTAGTCATCTTAAGTGCTGCCAACCAGGTTAATCCAGGTGTTGAGAAAAAGTTTGCTGGGTCTAATCCAAATTCACATAAACTCATTTTTCTAAAGTTTTCAAATATAGCAGCTAATAAACAAACATCCACTTTCAAATATATATCGTGAAATTCACCAAGTGTTGAACAATTAAACTCTTGAAAGATCTGATTCATTCTGTCATATACTTCAACACTAATCCCACTGTTTGTCAATGATGAGAAGAATGCATCTATTGGTGGTAAAGATGGTTCATCGAATCGAGATATACAATCCAAATATTCATAAGGTAAGCACGCTTTACCCAATAACATTTCAATATCTCCATCCGTAAATATTTGTTCAAGTATTTTAACTTTATCTCCTCTATCCAGGTTCCTGGCTAAATTATCAAGACTTGATGGTAAAAAAGCAAGTGAATCAATAAATATAAATGAATCCATTTGGATTGATAAGTACTTGTCAATCGTTTGAGGTATACAATCAATCTTTGTGAATAAATCATTATCAACTGCTTGAATTAATAAATGACCATCGAAATTTTTCAAATTGTGAAATACAACTGGTATTTTATAATCCCATTTCCATTGTAAATTACATGCATTATGTGCTGGTCCTCGAAATTCACCAGTCATGTGATCATGGTCTCTCACTTTATCACTATCATGATCAAAACCACTACCACAAATGACATTTATCCTCAATGTAAAATCTTCTTCTTCTAGAGTCAAGTATAATGGTTTCTGAAGATTATCATACAAAAGATATAATTCCATTTGAACAGCTATAAGAGTTTTCATGAACATTGAATCAGCGTCCAATCCACGATAGAAATCTTTTAGAATAACATCACCTTTGTAATCAATTACCACAAAACCGTAAGAACATGGTTTATGTTCTTGATAAGCAAACGAGTTTTTGTTTTCATGAGGTAACTTTGTTGCTAATGTTTCGAAATCAGCATAAATGATGAAAGGATATTTGAACATTTTTTTGTATTCCTTGAACTCTATTATCCCCCCTTTCTTTGGTAAAACAACTTGTTGTGGTGATCTCTTGAAACAATTGGGTTGGTGATCCATCAATTTTTCATGCGTTCGAAAACCATGTAAACAGTTTAAACAATGTTTTTCACCGTGGTTGCGTTTCTTATTTAGTAAACGATCAAAGTTTGAAATTAGAAAGTAATGATTGTCGTGGAAAAATAGATTCACATGTTTATCTTTCAGTTCACTTGTTATCCTAAATGGTATAATGTTTTCCTCGTTTAGAGACAATGTGTAAACATTCACTGAAACATTATTTGTCTTTTCAAATTTGTTGATTTGATTGGTTTTAACTTCTCCACGACAACTTGAGAAATCATATCTCCAACTTTGTAAATCATATTGAAACACCCTTTGAGGATTTTGATCCACGGGATGTAATGCACCCAATACACAGTACATAAAACAATCAGTTGTACAGTCCATATTAACGATAGCTTTTTTAGTGATAATATGTTTGGGTAACGAACATGATTTACAACCTCCTTGATGTGGTTCATATTTAACTAAATGAACTTCTACTTCCTTAATTGATTGAACACTCCAACCGCTTCCTTCTTGGGTAAACACATCCAATTTAGCATCAATTTCCTGTGAACATTCACCTAGAAAATGTTGAATATAATCATCATTACACAAAACTTTTTTAGATGAGTTGATGTAAACAGTTTTATTCTCATCATCACCATCATCCTTACTTGGTCTTTCTAATACAAACCAAACACCGATTGTAATTTTTACACACTCCAATTTGTTCACTAAATCTTCAAGAAGACTAGTTAAAGATGAGCTTTCATTGGAGAATAGAGTATCAACATCATTTGTATCTACATCACGCATAGAATATACTCCGAAAGTATTATTGAAAGCACTTTTTGATAAATTAAACTTTAGATGTTGTACTAAATCACCTATTTCTTCTTTCTCACATCTTTCTACATGTTCTCTAAACTTTGATAAAATTTTAAACTTTCGTCGACAATGTGTACACTTATAGGACATTTTTTTCACGAAAAGAATGATCTTTATTGTTAAACTGAGCTAAATGAGCTCTTACATGGGTTTTTATTAACGTCGACTCACTCCATCATCCAGTATCATGACTCCCTTGAAAAACCAGTATCGAATGTATGACATTGGCTCCGCCTCATAGTTTAAGGCACGCAATAGCTTAATCATATAGTCAAGAAATTTTCCTTTTACAATGTAAGAAATGAAACCTATATCCAGTCCCATGGAAATTTCGTTCAAGGTTATCACCAGTTTATTTATAGGGTCACCTTCAGCAACGACTGTAGGTTTAACTTTTCCAAGATATAGATCCTCATAATCTCCAGTTAGGTCAAATTGAATCAGGTAATTCCTCAATGCAAATAAATCAATTATCTTTAAATCCAATTGTTTCTCCGATTTTTCGTTGACATCATATCGAATCAAGATTCTTGGGTACCATCTCTCGAGTGTTTCTGTTGTTTTTGCTTCAATATCAATTGAATAATGGTCACCGTTTTTCAAATAATATTTACCCAAATTAAATATGTGAGTTTGAATACCAGGTAAAGTTGTATCAATATCACTAGTATCTTTCCATCCAATTACCTTAGGAGCATGTCTATTCGCGTATCCTTGTCCACATTTACGATTTATCTTTCCAATGTTTTCAACAAATTTTCCTTCCTTAATTATTTTCACCAACTCAAATGGTCAGTAGTAATCCTTCGATTTCACTCGAACCTGAAGTCCACCATCGCTTAAAGTTGTATAAGATATAAGTTTACTCATGTCAACGTAGTTGGATTTACCACCGATAATAGATAATCGTATTTCATCAAATTCATAGAAAGGGATCTTCGTTATCACCTCCACTCCGTTTAAAACATAACTTATGTACACCGTAAAGAAAAAATGATTATTGTATTTAAACTTTCCTCTTAATGAGATTGTATAGACAACACCGTCTACAGTTTCAACATATGATGATAAATTTGTGTAAGTCATTTTCAAGTTTTTTTTAAAACTTATTATCCATAGACTTATCACCTTTATATTACACAAAGTTCCCACGGTTAAGGGGAAGAACTAATGCTTACCCCTGTTCTCTTTCTTTTTCTCTTTCTTTTCTCTTTCTTTTTATTTTCTCTTTCTCATTCTCTTTCTTTTTCTCTTTCTTCTCTTTCTTCTCTTTCTGTGCCAGAGCCTCCATTTTTTAACTACTTTTAATTTTAATCGAAATTAATTTTTAATTGTTTTCCTTTTTTAATTTTGTTCTTTTTACTATTTGTAATTAGATTGATTCAGTTTCTTGTAATTAAATCTTTTGTAATTTTCCTTCCTTATTGTAGGAAATGAATTAACTATTTCCACATGTTCTCTTAACCTTTTGTGTCACCGGTTGATGTTGATGAAAATGTTACATTGTAAACATAATTTTCTCATGGTTAAATTACGTAAATATGACTGTTAATTAATGAGACAATTTATTGTTATTCTTGTTATCCTATTGTGATAATCTATTGACGATTGTAATTAATATTATCTGGTTGTCAAAAGAGTGAGATATCTGACAGAATCTGATGTGTATTCTTTTGTCAATGTCTTTCCTATCTTTTTCTTTCTTTTTTTTTTCTTTCTCCCCTTAGATTGTCTTTGACTTTCAACGAATAATTTTTTTTTATTGGGCCTGATTAAATATCTCAATTGTAATTGATAACCTACGTGGACTGGAGGCCATTTACTTTGTATTCACCGATTGTCCTCAGGGAAGGTGCACCTACGATTTTGGGCTCTGTAAATTAATTTACCTGTTGAACCTTTTACGGTGAAAATTGTGTTCACTTATTTACCTTAAATGTTTTATTGTTTTTATACCTGTTGAATTTTAATTTATACTTTGTATCATATTTAGATTACCTTGTTGTTTATCCACCGTTGGAATAACGTTTACAATTGATATAATCATCTCAAGGTTTACAGTTTGGGTTCAAGTGGATTTACAAGGGTAAATTAGAAATTGAAGAGAAAAAAAGAAAAAGAAAACTCTTATTAATTTTCTCCATGATAATTGATTCATTTAATTTGTATCTTTCTCTCTCTCTCTCTCTCTAGTTTATGTCATCAGCTTATTATTATATCATCTTGGAGCTTTGATTTTCTTTCTATGGATAATATTGGTTACCTTTGGAGGGAAAGTATTGATGTGTAGTTACTTGTTTACTTTCAACGTTGTAAAGATTATGTTTCATTCAACAGGCTGGACTCATGATTATTTGTTAATGGCCACAGGGTGATCAACTTTTTCACTCTCTCCATCCTATTACTTAATATTTAGATTCTGGTATTGAAGGTAATGTAAAATCATCTTTGCTAATCAATTCACAAAAAGCAAACTAAGAGTGAGAAATGATTTTCATGGGAATAAGATATTATCCTAACCTTTTATTTTTCTCTCCTTTTTTTTCTAGATTCATCTAATGTGACGACAAGGAGAACATGATAGAGGTTGAAGACAAGAAGAAGAATCCAGATGAGGATGGAAACTACTGGGTGGAAATTGAGAGAAATCAGATTTCAAACCTTCAAGCCAAATTAGATTTAATGAGCAGAATTAATTTCCAACAATTACAACTACAATTATTGTCTATGTGATGAAGCCAGAAATTGAACATTTGAAACTGTAAAGGGTTGAAGACATTTATTCATGTTGAAGATAAAATTTCATTCTCTTCATCGGGTCAAAGGTTAATCGTCTTGTTGGAAGATCAATTTACTATTCTCCCTCTCTTTTTGCGTTTCTGTCTCTCCAACAATTAACTCTAATTTCTATCACTAATTTTATTTTCTCTTTATTTACAAACCTGGTTCATGATCGAGATCAACATTGGAAATAATTTTCTCTTTATTTTCTTTTCTCTCTCTCTCTACAAATAATAAACTTAAAATGATCTGAAACATTGACGTTAACAAAGAAAAACAAATGACAAGGATAAGGAAGAGGAACATGGAAACAAGAAGAAATTAATATGATGACGATGATTATATAACAATGAGAAGGTAATTTAATAAAGTGAGAGGGAGAGAGAAATCAAAATAATCTCCTTGGTCTCCCTAATATTTATCTTTCTCTCTCAATTGGTGATATTTTCATCTTCAACGTTGCAAATATTATTATCAATGCAATTATCACTCCAATGATTAAAATGTTAAAAGTAAAGATTAAGAATATTTAATCGTAATGATTTAGTGATTAAGAGTAACAATCAAATCTAACTACTGTTGATTGTTATGCTCACTCACTCACTCATTGATTTTCCTCTCTCTTTCTCTCATGATTAATATGCACTCGTTAGGAAAATATTAGAGATATTTTAATTGTTACAATACCAATTCCAAGTTAATTTAATTGTTTGGCACACTTTTCCTATTAATCAGTTTTATTTCTAACCTCTCAATCTAGTTAATTAATCAACTCGATCCCTCTAATTATCCCAATTAATTATTATTATACATTATTAGTTAAAGTCTAGTCTCAAATTATTTACATTGAAACATTTTCATCTTGATGATTTTTGTTTTATCTTCCTTTTATTTTTTATCTTCTTCCTTCTCTCTCTCTCTCACTCACTCATATTTATCATGAAACTGAATCAGATAATGATTATCATCAATCGTCATCATAATTAACAGTCAATTGTAGTCTTGTTATTGTTAATTAAGTTTTTGATACTTTGCTTCTTGTTTCGATATCTATTATTTTCTCTCCCCCTCTCAACAATTAGTTAATGATTGTAATTGTTGATTTATAATAATACTAGTTGTTCAATTGTCAATTGACAGTTAACAACATGCTACAATAATAAGTAATAATAACAACAACAGGTTGACATTTAATTGTTTGTTTAATTGATTAGTAAGTTGATAAAGTATTTTACTTGATCATCTCCTTCATATAATAATAATTATTAAATTATCTTTACAATTTAGGAAATAAAATTTTAACCATTTAAAGTCAGGTAAATATATTAAAGAGAGAGAGAGGAAGAGACTGATTTTCACAATCAAGTAATTAATCAATTAGATTAATTATCGTCTCTCAATAGAATGAGAGAAAAATTTGGTTACGAATGTAGAACAATTAATTTTGATTCTCTGGTAAAATTCTAACAATTTACCGTTGATGGTGAGAAAATAGAATCATTGTGATTCTTAAAAATAGAATTAGAAAAATAACAATTTCGACATCTTTTTTGTTCTCAGATTAAGATGATAAGGATGAAGAGAAGATGATACATACTTTGAATTCTCCATGATGAATTCTCTGTGTCCTGATTAGGCCAAGTTACGAATTTGAACTTCTCTTTGACTTACGAAAAAAAGACCAACCATGTCGTCAGAATTTTAAATTAGATAATTTGAATCGTCAGAATGAATTTACAACTGAATTACGAAAGCGATTGAATTGCCAAAGAGGTTAATCGAAATTGTATCAGTATTTTCAACTGATTATACTACTAAATTGTTAATCGAATTAAAATAAATGAATGAATCTAATTCGACGATTCTGATTTTCTGTTTTTAAAGTCAATTCGAGAATCTGATCAATACTTTTTAACGATAGAAATTTTATTTCATCGACAATTGGGATAAATGTTGAAGTTCTGTTTAGTTTGGTCGTCAAGTTGACGAGTTTTCGAACTCTCTTCGTCGGTTGAACAGTTCTAATTAAAATTTAATCCGAAAAACTCTTTTAAATAATATCTCTGAATTTAATTCTTTTATGATATTGTTTCGCCATCTATTGAGAAATAATCATGAATCATAACCAGAGATAAGAATATCGTTTGAATAATTGCTCGAAATATCATATTGATTGATTCTCATCCTCAATAGAAATTTAATTTAGCATTAAAATTCAATTCTTTAGTTATTAAGATGACCAAATGATCCACCATGAAAGTGGGAATTGTCAATCGATTCAATTGCGATTGGAAAATTTTAATTACCATGAATTTTTAGTTTTTTGAAAAAGTTACCATTTCGATTTTGATATTTTCTCTAATCATATGATTGTTGAAAATCTCACCAATTAGAGTAAAAATGGTAAATTCATTTGGATATTCGAATAAGTTTCGAAAATTCTTTAAAGTCATTTTCGAACTAATCAAAAAAAGTGATGTAAGAAATAACAATTTTGCGTCGTTTTCGCGGCTTTTTTGACCTGCAAGAAACTTTTTAAAACTTGACTTTCATGAAGATTTTCAACCAAAAGACTGTTAATTTTAATATTCTGATAAACTCAACGCTTTACAATAAACATTCCAAGTTCAACTACGATTTTATTACTTATTAGTATTTGATTTTTCGTGCAAAACTTTCTGATATCCTAATAAATTGTTCATCCGAACCTTTTCATGCTCGGTAATAAAAAAAACTGCTCTTTCAGTGGCACAAAGTGGCATAGTCACATTGAAACTAAAAAATTATCTGTTTTACTGGTCAATAATATACATTTTGGACTTGAGTTTGTCACTTTGATCACAATTAAAACTTCAATTGTTTTGTTTTTTTATCGTTTGATTGCCGTTCGATTTGTGGAGACGGTCCCTTGTTTTCGAAAGTAGCGCCATCTGGTTGATTCTTTTGTAACCATTTGGAAAACAAAGGTTATCTTTTGTTAAGAATCTTAACTTATCGTCTAAATTGTTAATTAATATAATTGTTTTAATTTGGTTACTTAATTTGTTTACTTTTTATTTTACTGCTATCATTAAGTTGGAGATCTTTGTTATCTTCTTTTGAGTGGCCTGGTTGTTACTCTATTTGATTAGTTTTGTTTATTATTTAGCTTTGGTTTTGTATCTTTTGGCTGATTAGCTGGTGTGGCCAAGAATACAAAATGTCTGAAAGCGCATTGGAAGACGTGAAAAAGATTATTAAATCTTTAGTTATTGCTCATCAAAATGGACTCAGTCCTGTTGCACTTAACAATGAATTTCTTGAATTTGAAGGAAGACCAATCCCATGGAAATCTTTTGGTGCAAGTAGTTTATTTGAATTTTTGAAAACTCTTTCAGATATAATTGTTCCCGGCTCTAATAGAGCCTCTGAGCAAGTTTTCTTTGCCCGGGTTGACTCATCGACAGCTCATATTGCCAATTTTGTGGCTCATCAAAAACCTACAACAATTAAACGGCGTAATAATATTGCTCGAAATGATCTTGAGAAAAGACCATGTCGTGATCCAAGTCCTCCACCTGTGCCTATCTCTGTACCAATACCAATACCACAACAACCTCAACATTCACCACCACCAGAACGAAGTAGACCAAGAAGACCTGGTGTATCCAGTTCAAGTAATGGTAATAGTGATCGTCGACGCGAACCAGAAAGATCTGAGAGAAGAAGATATAGAGAACCATCACCTATGAGTATTTCTCCACCACCTCGACGAACACCAACCCCTGAACCTGATAGATTTCGCAATCCAAGTCCACCTCGACATGGAAGGTCACATTCCTTTCGTGATGCAAGTCCAGATAGACCACCAAGAAGACAATCTGCTCGAGATGTATTTTTAAATGGTTCACCACAAGCTACTCCTCCACAAGATTATGATAAAGAGTTAGCTAAAGCCAGAGAAAAGAGAGGTTTACCTGCACAAAGTTCACGATCAAGAAGAAGTAGATCACCTAGTCCTCGTCGACATCGATCTCGACCATCACCTCCTCCACCTAGTCCTCCTCGTCGCCGTTCACCTCCCATTCAAACAAGGTCAGTTTCTTGTCAAACTGATAAGGAAAAAGTAATTTCTAAAAAATTGGTCTCCGCTTCATGTCAAACTGATGTTGAAAAAGCCAAAACCTCAACAGTTGTACAACAAGAACTAGCTGCTGGTGATGAGAACGAGGTTAACCTTAATCAAGCTTATTATGGTTCCAGTTATGGTCCCAGTTACGGAGGTCATTACAACGGAGGTCCATATAATGGATTCTCATTGCAACCTGTTCCTGATCCATCTTACGAAGAAGATGCCAGTCGACCAGGATTTTATTACGATTTTGATGCGGGAAGCCACAAACAAATTCCTCTTATACCTGAATGGTATGCTTATTGGATTTGGACTGGATGGGCACCACCAACCTCTCAACAACCCCAACAATCCCAACAACAACCTCTACAATCCGCTTATCCACCACAACAACCAACATTACCACCAAATCCTAACCCTCACGTACATTCAACACCCACAACAACTACTACACCAGTTGAAGCTGCACAACCAACACTTAAATTCATACCAACAACACCAACCAACAATTCAGCCACAAGGGACCCAAGACTCGCTCGTCAATTAGCTGCTAATGCAAATAACACAGCGAACGCTAAACAAGCTCAAGTGCCCACTAAAAGAAAAGCTGTAAATGTGAACGATTATTTAAAGTCGCGCAAATTGGTTCCAGATAAATCGCAATTTATCATCAACGAGGAAGCACAAGAAACTCCTGAAACCTTAAGTAATACACTTGATTATTACGTTAAATTGGGTGCCAAACGAGCTTAAACCGATTGTCCGAACAATTGGTTTATAAAATTTTTCTAAATCTCCAAACAATATCATCAACGAAACATCAAAAAGGAGGATTAGTTTCAAAATGAATTCTTCCATTTTCTTTATCAATATTTTTTACCCGCAGAAAAAAAAGTTAACATTGTTTTTGTTTTTCGTTCTTTTCACTTATGGAAAGAAGAATCAACCATGGCTTCTTCTCTCAGAACGAATTGTAACCACACAATTACCCAGTTCATCTCTTCAATCATAAATCAACATTTGAGTGATAATTTCCAACGCAAGTGCCTTTTTGTGTCGTACTTAACATCGAGCTTGATGTTAACTTCGATATCGTCGTCAAGCCTAATTACCTAACCTTTTACACTTCTCTTTGCAAAAGCGGTTGCATTGAGAGCGCTTATTTTAGCCTAACCTAAGAGGAATCCTAACCTATGTTAAGACTGCGAGAGAGTCTTAAGTTTAGTTGCGAATCATTTGTTCGGGTCATCTAATTGTCGAGAAAAAAAGCCTTTGAGTCCGATACTCATACTTTTTTGTCAACACGTATCTTAAGCAATAAGATTATCCCACCTAGAGTTGAGGTGGTGGGATTTGATTGTTGCTTTAAATGCTAATCGCTTCCAGTGATGCGATATGTAATGTCTCCCTGATATTCAAGTAAGTGTATTTTTGGTCACCAATTGATGTCGTTTTTCTGGATGGAACCATTTTGGATTCAAGAAGGAGATTAAGCTAATCTCCTTCTTGTTTACTGTTTGTGCGGATTAGAAATGCAAATTTCTCTGAATTTGGTCTAGCAAGTGAATCACCTTGTCCCATGTGAATGGGAATCGAAGGGCCGAGAGTGGCTTAGTCGATGGTGTTTTCACTTGCTGAGAGTAGAAGAGTATCTGAAGATGGTCATTTGTTGATGTCAACAACAAAATCCTGTTTGTAGTGGTCATTTTAATGACCTTATCGTTCAACCTAAACTCTGTTTAGTTTGATACCAGAATAATAGATGGCGACTCTTATTCTTTTCTAATTAAAAAGTTAACCAATCACTTTAGATAAATAACTAAACTTAAGCCACGATTTGATCTGGACCCCGGTGCTGGGGACCAGAGATGAAATTGTTTCCCGATTGGCAGTAGTGTCGAACATTATTTCTATGAAGAAGATTAATGCCTATCAATACAACTTTGGAACAAGCGTTCATTACATTCGCAACGCATTCGCCCTTCAATTGAACGACAAAGGAAACATCCAAATGAATCATTTCAATAGCGTCCTGAGATCTTAATTTGATTAGTAAATTTTGATCTTCCGAGGTCCATGCAGAATCAGTATTACTGACCTCTACTAGAGGCTGGACTTTGAAAGTTTAAGATCTTGAGATTGGTTGGTTTATTGTTCATGGTTGCCAATTCGTTCTTGATTAGTTGATAGATTTAAGTTTAGGGATTGGATTGGATTAGATTAGGTTAGGTTAGGAATAACAATTCAGTACACAATTAGTTACTGAGATAATTACAATTTGTGGAAACTAAAGATTCCAAATTGCTCGATTTCGTGCGATTTCCAATGGAATTTTCTCATTTGTATTCTTTCTATTCTATTAATTGTTAGTCCTTAAGTGCAATTTAATTCGATAAGAGTATTATTTTTTTAAATAAAAACTCGAAAACACCTAAACATAAATAGAGAACTTGAGATTGAACAAACTCATTGTGGTTACTTTAGAAATTCGAAATTCTATCTTATTTTGTTCATTAAAATTATCGAGAGATGGAACTTTTAGTTCCTATAAATCACATTCCAAAGAAAAAATTCTCAATTAAATTTCTTTCAATTATCTTTACCATGAATGGAACTGAATTGAATTCTCAATGATCTGAAACATTTTAAGTCGAAGCAAAAACGAAAACATTGAAACTGTTTAAACGAAAATGTAAACAAATTTAAGAATAAATTAAAAATTTGATTGAACCTCGAAAAATTGTGACAATTTATCGACGAAATTTGGACAAAATTTAGTTAATCAACTTTCAGAAAGAGAAAAAGAAAGAGAAATAGTAAGAGAAACCAAGAAAATCTGAGAAGCGAAAGAAAAAAGAATACAAGTGGCGACCTCAAGTGGCCTTCGATTCGAACTTTTCTTTTCTCTACTCTTTGAGTTGCTCTCAGTCATCAGATTGGGTTTGTTGCAGTTTGTTGTTGTTGATTTGTAAATAAAATTATTTCCGTCATGTTAATTATCAACAGAATTTATATGAGTTTGTCCTTAATTTATTGGAATCTCAACAATTAACCAAGATACAAAAAGAAAACCCCAACAAAAAAGTCCAAGTGAAAATTGAGTTCTTTTTATATTTTGTCCAATTCTTTTCTCTCTTTTTTCTTGTTTGTTATTTGTTTCAATCAATCGATATTTGTATTTATAGAGTCAATCAATTTGAAAAGAGAATTTAATTTTTAATCAATGGATGTGGTTCAACGGTCAAATTCAGCACCATCAACACCGACTGGACCTTCAACAGGTGATGAGAAACGGAGCCAATCATCAATCGATGGTTTCTCAGTTAAAGGTCGTAAGGTTCAATTCCCATCGGATGAGGAAATAGTTACCAAATATTTTGATGCTCCGGATCCTTGGTCGTATTTGGGTGAGTAAATTAACTTAAATTGTGATTTAATTGTAATTACGATTCAGATCCATTCTTTGTGAGGTAGTGTTGTAACTCTGTTTGTCAACAATTTACCTGGAGAGCAACTCGACAAATGATAATTACTAATGATAATCTCTGTTAATCAGTTAACCATCGTAGGAATATATTTCATCGTAATAATTAAAATGGTTGATAACGTTAATTGCAATTGACTATTTTTTGATCAATTGATTGGTTAAAATATCATAACTATTTTACCTGTGTAAATTTGTTGCTTTTTTATATTTAATTGTAGTTTACGTTTCGTGATTACCTTTTAATTGTTTCAATTTAATGGTTTCACTTTTAATTTTCTGCTTGATTTACTGATTGTTCAACTCATCTCAAGTTCAATGATTAACAATCAATTGGTATTTGTTTCTTGTTAGTTATGGTAAAAATCAATAATTAGTTAATTTAATTGGCTACACAATTAAATGTCAATCTCTTTATAGATTGTCAATCAATCAAGACGAAAATTAATTTTCCATTTTAATTAATTTTCAGAATGAAAACTTTTTTGGATTTTATCCAAATTGTTGGACAATCAATTGATTGTTGTTACCATTAAAGTTTATTAATAGTAAACAAAAATTTTGGTTAAACTGTAATTGATTGTTTTCATTTGCAATTTAAATTTGTAATCAAATTATTGATGATAATTACAATTCATTTATATGATTTGACGTCAAGTTAATTGTTGTTTTCTAGATATTTTAATTTTCAGCCTTTCTCTCATCCTTAATTATCAATTGCTTTAATTGTCGTCAATATAATCACCTTATAATTGGGTGTTGATTAACTTGAGACAATTAGGTTAAGTTGATGATTTGATTATGATATGATTAAATTTGGTGAGATAATTAATTATATAAATAAGTATCAGAGTGGATACTTCCGATTGATTATAGTAACAATCATGTCAACAATTAATTGTCCCAGTCAATTAATTTTATTATCATCTTTGATGATTTGATTTACCTGAAAATCAAATACAAAGTTTAAATTGTTTACGTTTATTGTTATCATTATTATTTTGGTTAATTGTTGATGAGTAGAGCGGAAATAATTAACTAAATCAAAGTTAATTATGTAACCTAAGTTTTAAAAGTTTCACATTAATTGTTGTCTCAACGAATCAAAACTAACGGGTTTACTTATCAATTAAGTTACAGGAGAAAAGAAAAATTTAATTACAATTAATCATTGAAGCTTTTTAATTGTGTTGATCATAATTGCATAATGAGCTACTTGTTGAAGCTAATTAAGATTATGGTTAATGATAATGATGACATTGTTATGATTTAGCAATTAAACAAATAATTAACTTTGAACTTTTTGTTTTTCGTCCAACAATCAACTGATTTTGTTGCTTTCAAAGGAAATCAAATTGATGATAATTAAGATTATCATGATTTAGATTATTAAATCTGATTTAATAATATGATTATCTGATTATTCCCAATGGTTAATTATTATGTAACGATTAATATCATCGATGATAATTAAATCGTTAGACTTAAATTGCGTTGATAATTAGTGAGTTTTTTGCCTCTCTTGTTGTTAATTCATGATTAACCATCACCATTAAGCAATTGATTAACAATCACTAATCATCCATTAGCTAAATCATATAACAATTAATTGATTGGCTTATTAGGTGTAACAATTAAAGTTGCTTCAATAAACCAATTGATTAAAGTTTCAATCAACAATCATTAACAAGATTCACAATCAATTTGAATTACATGTTAATCGTTAGTAAATTTTAAACATGTTGAACTGGATTAAATTTAATTATGATGGACAACATTTCTTTAATCAATCACATCAAATCATTTACATAATAACAATTAGCAAATTGATTAATTAACAATCAGACAAAAAGAAATCAAATTAAATAAAATGATAATCTAACCCATTAACCTTATACTTGGATGATTTGTTTTTTTTGTTCAATCAACAATCAACTAATTGCTTTACTGTTTCAGTTTAAATCATCAGGATAGAGATGATTGTAATTAAATTGTTTAAAGACAAATCCTTCAACTTATAATTAATTTTTATCAAATTATCGTGACATTCAGTTTGATTTTACAATTTAATCAACAATTAACTGATTGACCTTTTTTTTATATTTTCACAATCACAACAATTAAATATTCATGATTTAATTGTTACACTCTCATCTAAATTGTTTCAAATTTACTGTTTGCTAAAAAAAAACTTTACTTTTCTAAATTGAGTGACAAAAATTAGTTTGATTAGTTAATTGTTAACCATTTAGTTAAATTAAAATTGAAATGTAAGAATTTAATTTTGTTTTTCATCCATCAATTGATTTAACTAATTGTTACCATGAGAAAACACAAATCAAAAAGTTTAATTAGATGATAATTAACTTTGATTTGTGAAGATGATTTGATTTTTTGCTTCTTCCTTAACTATTATCAATTAAATTGCTCCAGGCAATTACTTATACAATCAAGCAAAATTTCATGATGATTTTAATTTTTCATGATTAGTGAAAATTACATTTAACTAAATTGTTCAATTGATCCCTGGTTGGATTTAAATTGTGTGATTTATTTGCTATCATATAAATTCATTATTAATAGTAATTTAAATTTATATAAATTGTTACAATTAAACTGTTATTCTTGGTTTCATTTGAATTGTCATTAAATTGTTACGTTGATTGTGATATTTTTAACTCCCACCAGGAATTGGGAGTGATGAAGATGATGATTTAATTATATGTATCATGATAATAATAACAATTTAATAAATCAAGTAATTGAATAGCTTATTAATTTGATATCATAGTTAATTAAATTGTTACCATTATTTATCTAAGATTAATTCAATTAATCAGTCAAACTGATTTGCAGTAATAGTGAACAATTAGTTAACGAAAACCTTGAAAGATTAAATTGTTCACAATTAATGATATTTGAAAAAAAATTTGATTAATTTTTACTTTGATTTCCTTGTAAGTATAAATAACAGGTTGATGACAATTAATAAATTGTTGCTAACTGTTCAACTTTGTGTTAAGTCAACAATCATTTTTGATTGTTGGGCATTAAAAGGTTAACCAATGATTGAAAAATCAATAAGAAGAAAAAAATTTATCCCAACAATTTGTTCAATTCAGTTTCCCTTTTTGATTGTGTTGATTTAACATTTAATCAATTCGTAATTTCTGCTCAGTAAACATGATTATCATGATGATTAAGCTGATTGTGATTAGGTGAACTCAAAAGTGAAAAGCCATTCAAGTAAACTAAATTAAAGTTAATTTTGATTAAACAATTTTGATCAACATCACATTTGAAAAGAAAAAGTTAATACAAAATGATTACTACAATTGAGTTAATTATATTTAAAGTTAACTTTCTAATTGTGATTAGTAATCTAATGATAACCATGAATATTATTATTAATCAAGGTTTTCAAATGATTAACTTAATTGTATAAATCATATTGTTGTTATATAATGACAGCAATTTGGTAATGAGAGTTAATTTAACAACTATTACTTTGATTAGTTTGACAATTTAACCTTAATTAAGCAAAAGTGTATACGTTAATTGTAAATATAATAAGACCTTAATTTCAGACAGTAAAACATTTTCAAGGTAAATTTGATGATAATAATAATAATAATATCAATTGCTAAACGATAACTATAATAATAAACAATTAGCCTGATTGATAATCTAATCAAAAGGTTCCTTGTAATCAACAGTGTGTAATCTTGTGATTAGTAAATTGCGAAATATTAACAACAACAACAACAAAAGGATTAACTTAGTTTGATTTCTCAATGAGATTAACGAAATGAATCAAATTGATTATACAATTTAAATGATAACAACAAATCCGCCACAATTTATAACCAACAACCAACAATCTTAATCCAATTATGAATAGTAATTAAATTGGTTTAAAAATGAACTTGTTCAAATCTCATATATAATATAAGATGATAAATTTTTTTTTCCTGAATTTATTATTATAACAAAGGATCGAGATGAATGTTGATAATCAACAATTAACTTGGATGATTAGTTAATACCTTTCATCTCATCAATCAAAAAATGGTGTAAAGGTAACTCACAACAATAAGAATCCTTCAAAGCCACACCCAATAACACCTCTAATAATGAACAAAATTAGATAATAATACCTTCATGAATCGAGAAAAATGAAAGAAAAAAAGTTTTTTCTCTTCTTTTCCAATCAAATTAATCCTGATTCAGGCCTGGAATTTGAGCTCAATGATAATCATCCTGTCATCCTAATCCCATAATCAACATGTAGCTTATATTCAACACCTTAAACTATTTTTAACTTATTCAAAGATTACCGATTCAAATTACAGATTACGGATTAACAGTCAGAATATTTTATCCATTCCAATCCTAATTTGCTAAAGGTAAACACCTTGTATATTTATTTTGTTTATCTAATTAACTTTTTTTTACTCATTATCACCTTTTTACCTTCATAAGGTAATATTTACATCTCACTTTTTTTTTAATTTTATTTACACTTTCATTCATTAAAAGGTTGAATCTTTTAACAGGTAAAAAAAATTTAGTTTTCATGTTTACCTTTGGTCCATCATCATCATTATTATTATTGTTATTATCATTATTTTCACTGAAAGTTGTATTTATATTTGAACAAATTAGTGTTATTTATTCACAACCTTTTACTGTCCATCCTTTTTTTATGCTATTACTGACCATTGATTCAGATTATTGGTTATTATTACCAATATTCAGAAAAGGTAACAACAAATAATATATAAAGTAAGAAAATAAAAGATTCAGGTAAACATGTTATGTAATAAACATCAACTATAAGTGTGATGATAAAGATGTTATTGCATTTTTGAGGATAAATTCAAGGTAACCAGATGAACAGGTAACATTATATTTTTACCTGAGATGATGGTTGTTGATGAAGTTGGTCTGTTGGAGTGGGTTCTTTGAGAGAGAAAGGGAAAATATTACTCAATGATTACAACACCTTGAATGGAAAGGTAACTTTTTCCGATTGAACTTTTCTTCTTCTTCTTCTTCTTATTTTTTTTTGAAACTTTCTCTTTCAAATTGTGATCTAAATTCAACCAGAATCATGCTGAAAATGATGATCATGGAAAGTGCAAAAATTTTCAACCTGAATCTCAATTGAATCAATAAATTTCCAGATTTCACCTCAACCTGTTTATCACCAAATAACAACAACAACTTTAATCATTTTCTTGTTGTTAATATAATATTATTGCAATACTTTTGCACAATCAATTTAAATTGCAATGGTTATTTTACTTGTTCTCACTGATTTGCAATTAGCAAATGCAATGTAACAGACTGACCATAACTGACCACTGAACGTTATACTAACTTCTGAATACTTTCAGTTGCATATAAACATAAATGCATTTCCCAATCAGACAAAACATTGTTGCTATTTTTTACCGTTATCCTTGATTGTGTAGTTTTCAACCAATTTGTAACTTGATTATCGTTGATTTAACTTTTTTTTTACTTGGTGAAATGATTGAAATTGAAAGTTATTATTATTATCATTACTAAATATTTACTTTCACCATGATTTTAGTTATATCGATATATTTATATTACTATTTGAACCGCACTTGATATATACAATGAAATATACACAATTTAAAAAGCCTCAGGGTTGTTACTTTCAATACCATTTTGTTTTGATTGTAAATGATTTTTATTACAATTTCTGTTTCCATTTTCATGATAATAGTGTCTACAGTTATTATTATTATTATTATTATCATTATCGATCGTAATAAATATTTATCATCTGTAAAAGTGAGATAAGATTGTGATTGTTTTGATTGATGTTCTTGTTTTTTTTTCGTAAAACCCTTTGACTTGTGTAAAGATCAATCTGAAAATAATTATGACTCAATGATAGGTTGTGATGTTACCTTGGGGCTGTTGTGGTAATGATGCAAAGAAATGATCATTATAAACAACAACAAGTTTTTATATTGACCTTGGCTTATAACCCAAACTAATGAATAATCAAAAGTTCTGGAAACTTTCAATTTCCTTAAAGATAATGATGAGTAAAAGCGAATCGTTGACCTTTAACCGTCCAGAATAACTTACAATCTTTCCTTGACCTCTTCACCCTTTCCCTTTTTACTCTTATCATCATCATCATCTTACTCTCTGAGTTATTAACCGGCAATTGCGAGGTAATAATGATGAAAACCTGAGCTATAAACAATCATCCGGATGATTATTGAGCCCGTTGTTTCCAGGCGTTGGTTGAACTTAGTACCAAAGTTCTGAGACCGTGTGAATACATTTAGCATCGTCATGATGATGATCAAGGAAACATGAAGGCTCAAGGGCTGATAATCAGACCATTTTTGTTTGTTGTATTTCAAAATCACAAGCCCCCTGAAGCTAATGAACCAATCATTTGTTTGATTTCATATCATCTAATCATACCCAATGAGTAATAAATTATATCATTAATTCATGGTGACTAACATGATATACATATACAATGAATGAACAGGAATAATGAAAACTTCAAAGCCTAACCCTGAAAAAGTTAATGTTTCAAATGTCTCTGAGCCTTTTATTTTCATGAGAAGGGAAAATTACTTTTCCTCCTTTGTCACCAAGCAGTCTGACAAAATTTTCATTATCATCCTTTTCATCATTGTTTTCCTGATCATCATGATCCCTTTCATTTTCATGATTCCCCTGAGACTTGAACAATTGAACCAATATCATGAAAGTTTTTAAGATGAGTTCAGATTCAATTGGTTTCTCCATGTAAACGCCAACGTTTTTTTTCCTGTTCACCATCTCTCTATCAACTATTATTAGCATTGTTATTAAACTTAATAATGTTATCATCATTATCATGGTGATCAGAAAAGTTCATAATGACATAAGAAAAAGGAGATTATCATCCTCATCCTTTTCCCTGGTTTCAAATGTTACTTTTTTTGGGTTTTGTTGCCAAAAAGTTTCTCTTTTTTTTGTTCAGGTTTAACTTAACATTTAACCAGAAAAAAATTATATATAAACTGAGTTCAAGGTTATCATACTCATCATAATCTTCATCTTGATCATCTTTCATCAGTAAACAATTAACAACAATCATGATGATATGGAAAAATGGAAAGATAATGATTTCCGTTTGGTGATTATGAACAAAATTCAATTCAATAGCTACTTTAACATGTACTTAATGAACTCTTGTCATCCTTTGCATCTTCATCATATTGTGTGTACAATGGATGACAAATATTGTCCTTTAATCAATTTAATCATCATTGTGATGATGCTTATCATCCTCATCTCACTTGAAATATAGTTTAATTTTTTTCCCTGGCTTGAAATTATATTTATTTTCATTATTGAAGATATGGACTATTTAATATTAATTTAACAAGGTAATGATGATGATTAGTTGATGAAAATGACAAAGTGATGTGGGAGCAAATAGTTAGTGAGAGAGAGAGAGATGAAGGAGCTTAGGAAAATTAATATCTTTCTTATCATCATTGTCATCATCATCTTGATCTATTAATACATTAGTACCAACAATAAATCAACATCATTAGTCTGAATAATTTCCTAGAATCCATGAATTTGCCATGAGCATCAACCTTTACTTTTTTTCATCATCTTTATCATTGGTGATGCAATTGATTGAGGCTTAACATGAAGTGATTATCTTGATGCTTCTGCTGCTGTTGTCGTTGTTGATGATGATGATGATGATGTTGATGGCAAAAAAGGATAAAAAATGTGTCAACAAGAAAACAAAAGATTATCATTTAATATACATTATCAATGAACTTTGTACTTTTCTTTGAATCAACATCCATGTTACCTGGAAAAATGGGATGATAATGGTTACCTTTCAAATCTTTTCATTTCTCTCTCATCCAGGTAACCATTATTATCATCTTGACCTTTTCTCATCCTCTTGATATTTATTTTAGTTATTCTGTTTACTTGATGTCTGATTATAATCAATATCATTACAATTACTGATTAGACTAATCACCATCATCACTAATTGATTAGATTATCAAATGACAGAATGTATTTATCTCAGCATCATTGAGACTGACTAAACACAAAGCATTTGAAGGTGTGTCAAAAGAAAGAGACAGAGAACCGGAAAAGGAAATGATGCTAAATGGAGGACATTTTCTTTTCTCTTTCTTTCTGATTTTTCGTTCTGACGTTCTGAATTTTTATCTTCTTACAAGATTATAATCATCTACTTACAATCTTCATTCTCACCAAATCAGTTATAATGTGTTCAGAGATGAAGAGGAAGATGATAAACAATTCTGGTTATATAAAAAAAAACTGTCTACGTTTTGATGATAATCATGGAATTGATGAAAAGGTTAATTAATGAGTAAAAATCGAGTAGGTGAAGTTGAATTATCTTTAACCACATCTCATTTATTCATTCATTTCATTTCTGAATCTGTGGGAATGAAACTTGAAGATAAAATTGAATTGAGAGAGAATCTGAAAATGGGATTGATCAACTGAAACTCATGATGGTGATGCTCAAGTTTATTCAATCGTAATGAAAGTCTCATCATATTTAATAGATCGACCCCTCCCTTCATTTTACCTTTTCACTTTTCAATTTGTTCATCTGAATCACCATCATGGTTAAATTCAATCAACTGAACAGTTCATATTACTCTCTCTCTCTCTCTCTTACTCACTCCCTCCTAATCCGTTAGTTGATTAATCTTAAACGGTAACGTTATCATCACTTTTTTTGCAATATCAAGATGATCAAGTAATTGCTTTGATCATTAAGAAACTTATTAATCTGCTGATTCAGTTATAAGGTGTATTTATGATAAAACCAGAAGTTGCGGAAAAGTTAATCTTGATAATGAATAGTTATTTAATTCATGATTAATCTGCTTGATTTAATCTGTTTCATGATAAATGTATCACCTTAACTGTTACTATGGTAGATTCAAATGATGAGGTGAAAGTAAAGATGAATGTAAATGAAAATTATTAGAATTGAATATTATTAGGATCGATCAGAATCTGTTAGAGCTTTTTTGTTATTCATTTCATTCAATCCTAAGCCTGAATTGATCAAGAAGAAGAAGATGTCACCAGAATAGATCTTGAGAACCATCAAGGTGGTAAAAATGAGGTCAATTTGTTTCATGGAAGATGAAAATTTATCAGAATTTTCCATCATTTCCTATCATAAACATCATCTTTTGGGAGTGACGATAAATTCAAATGTAACTATCATGAAGCTGATTCATCAAGATCTTAAAAGAAAGAGAGGAAATAAAAAAGTTCTAGAAAATAGAAGTTCGAAAGTTTGAGTTCGACAATTTAAAATCTTCTCATATTTTGTTGAACAGTTTCTCTCAATTTAATCAATTAATCTCCACAAGAATGATCCATAATCTTACCTCTGTAATGAATTAATTTTCAACTGATTAATATGATTAATTAATTATCTTTTCTTATCTTTTAATTAGCTCCTCACCAATTAACATCACAGAGCTTGGTTGAAGCTTATTGTAATGCTTGTGATAATCAAGGAACCAAACCTTTAGCTAAAGTATTAAGTCAACTTCAGGTAAGTGTCCAGTTAATTTTTGACCATTAGTTTAATCCAATCGCACAATTAGTTTTATCATTTTAATTGTGACACAAGGATGATAGTTGAAGATGACATTTACTCCTCAAGGATAATCAGTTGAAACAGTTAAAATCAACCTCAGGATAATATTTAAATTGTCTGTTTGATTAACATGAAAAAAAAGTTTCTTTCTCAGCTAATTGTTTGGATGATACAGTAATTAATTAACAATTAACGCTTCGATTGTAATCAAATTAGTAACAAATTTATTGTATCAACTTTATGAACAATTTACTCAAATGAAAAGTTAATTATCATTAATAATAATTGAATATGAGAGAAAGAAAAACTTTTTACCGTTAGAACTTTTTTTCCATCTTCGAATTTGCTCATTTCGTCTTCGTCTTGTTGAAATTTTCTCATTTCCATAATATAATCAATTCTAATTTCAATTTAATTTGATTAACTAATAGCTACTTGGATCAAAGAAAATGGTGAAGCTTTTTAATTAGTACAATTTTCGTTGATGGAAAAGTTCAGAGAGAGAGAATACAAATTTTTCAAGGATTTTTGTATTATACATGATGATGAACTTTTATCATTGTTTCATCATGAATATTTATGTAATCGGAAAATGAATCTGAGTTTTTCAGTTGCAAGGAACCTGAGTTTTCATTTGTAACTTTAATTATGTTTTTCTTGCTCTCTGCCCACATTTTTGATAAAATTCATTAATATTTTATCATTCCAGTGTTTCAGTCTGAATTATATCATGATGATAATGAACTTTTCATGCTGATATAACTGTGTGACTTTTACATGATGAGATTTCAGGTATTATAAGAATAGGCTTATTATTCAAGTACATAATTATCCTTTTGGATTGAATTTCAGATTTTATTCATTTTGATTCATTATCATGAATTCACAGGCATCATCATCATCATCGTCATCACCCTCATGATGATGATTAAATCTCCTGAGTTGATGAATTTGTTACCTTTTGATTTTCCCATTAAACAAAAAGAAAGTGATTAATTTGATTAATTCTCTCACCTAATCCAGAGACTTCATGGATTCACCGATAGAGAGGAAGATCTTAATCTTAAAGGTAAGTCAATGATTGGATAGGGGAAAAAAGAGAAAGATTTGTTTTCTCAATTAACTAATTGTTTATTTGCTCTCTTGTGATTAAACTTTGTATTATTTTTCTCCGTCTTCGAGTAGGTGAAAAATTAGATGCTAAAAGTTGCGAAGCCCTTGAGGAGATTTTCAAACGTATCCGGTTCCGGTCGATTAACCTTGAATCATGTAACCTTGATGAAGAGGTAAGTCCAATAATCAATTAATTCAACGAAAAAAATAAAGATAATCAATTTAAAGATTAGTTAATCTTAAGCGATAAAAGTAAAAGTCTGAAAAGTTACATATTATGAAGATGGTGATGATTTAAGTGAAATGTGATTATCTTTTATCCAGAACTTTTATCTTTGCTTTTCATGATGATGATGTGGATGTTAAATTGAATTATCATCATGATAGAAGAAGAAATTGTTCTTGATGGGTGAAAGTTTCCTCAGTTGTTTTTCCCATTTCTTTTTGCTTCCAGATTAGAAACGAAATGTTCAATTTTCGAGCTTCGAACTTTCGAGTTTTCAATCTTTTCTTTTCAAGTTCCATGGTAAACTAACCATCACTAATTTGATATCATAATTTTCTGAGTAACAACGATTTTCAATCATGATTATCAACCTGAGACAATTGTAATGAGACAACGACTTAATCAGCAACCTAAACCCCAACACCATCATCTGTTATTTGAATTGACAATGAATAGTTAAAACTTTCAGCTGATTGTCTTTTTTTTATAGATTATCTTGAACACTAATCTTAATCCAATTTTAATCTTGCAAAATTTAATTTCTTAATCAACAGGGAGCTTCAGCTTTGTTTGATATGATTGAATATTATGAATCAGCGACTCATCTAAATCTTGCCAATAACAGAGCCATTGGAATGAGAGGTTGGCAAGCTTGTTGTCGAATGCTCAAAAAGGTAAATATCACCAAGAAAATATCATATTGATGAAAATATCATAATCATCATTTCCTTTTCCGGTTTCTTTTTCGTCCAAAAAAATATCGATCAATATTCATATACGAGTAGACTCCTTGTTTACAACATTTGGACCTTCGTAATTGTGGCCTAAGTGAACAAGTTTTACTCATTTTAGGTCGAGCACTCAGAATAGGTTCACATTTGATCTCTTTACGATTAGAACGAAGTGGAATCTCCAGCAGAGCATTGGCAATATTAGGTAATATTATTAACGAATTGTAGATTTAATTACCAAGATAATTTACTTTTTTTTTCATCTTCATGTTAATTTCTATTTACAAATTGATTAACTATTTCAATTGTTAATCTTTTCTTTTGTATCAAAGTTGCTGCTCTCAAATTGAATACATGCTTACAATATTTATACTTGGGGGACAATAAACTTTGCTCTGGCGATGCCATTCAAATAGGTAACTTGCTACGTGCCAATTCAACCCTTGACCTGCTTGACCTAAGAGACAATGATCTACAAGATGAGGGACTGGAACACATTGCGGAAGCACTTAGAAGTCAACCTTCCGGTCCCGGTGAAGGTTTAAAATATCTAGTCCTCTCAAACAATCAGATGACCAGTCAAGGGATGAACAGTTTAGTTGAAGCTCTGGTAAGCAGATTAATCGATGAGCAACAATTAAATGATTGAAAAATTATAATCCTAATCTTTTATCATTTTCTTTGCCCTTTAGCCTTATACAAAATCACTTCGTACCGTTAACCTTAACGACAATTGTCTCGGTGATGAAGGTATCATCAAATTGAAAGAGGGAATCATAACCGCACCCAGAATAAGTGCTTTAGGTCTTAAAAATTGTAAACTTAATTGTCAAGGTAAGTTGAATATCTAATAGTAATAATAATAATCATTTTCTCTCTCTCTCTCTCATGAAAATTCACCATGAAAATGAAAACAAGAATCAGGAATCATCAATTTTACCTGAAGGAGGAAAGAAAAATTCAAATTTATTACCTTAACTGTGATTCCTTTTCCTTATTGATTGTTTATTATTATTATCGATCCGGGTATTCAGATGATGATAAGGATGAAAAAAAAATCTTCTTCTGAATACCAATGAATGATGAGAAAATATTATCATCTCAAGATATTATTTTCACTCTGATTTTGTCATGTTAAATATCATCTTATTAATAATAATAATAATCTTTCCCACTGATTCGTGAACATTATGATTAGATAAATGATTATCATTGATTCAATGCTATCTAATAATACAGACAAAAAAACCAACTGAAGATGAAGATGATTATCATCACCATGTTATCATCATTATTCTGGCTAATGGATGTTGATTAGTGAACATGAAAGTTACTTTGATTAAGAAAATATCGTTGCAACGTTGTAAGTATAAGTAACTTTTTCAGGATAATAAATGTTATCATGGTGATTATCATGTAGCCAAGATACATGATATTCATTTACCATCATGTGTGTCTATCCTTTGATCAACCGTATTAATAACTTGAATAATTACTTAGTTTAGATGATTAATCTTTATTCTTGGAGGAGATAAATGTATGAATTGAGTTAATCAATTTCATGGAGATTTTCATCATTTTTCATCTCAATTCTTTCATCCCCTTTTTTAACCTTCTCTTTATTATTTTAATTAACCTTTTTCTCTCTACCAATTAAGGAGCCATTGCAATCGCTGATTGTTTCATGGAAGGTGATAGTCTACATCGAGTCGATCTCCGTGAAAATAATATCGCCGAAAGAGGCCTGATGGCTCTTTACCTTGCTGCCCAATCAAATCCTCAAATTTTAAGAATTGATCTTACCTCTAATCTAATCTCACCTGATTTAATCACATCCAGTGGGAATCTGACCACTCATTCATCAACCTCACCTTCATCAACCACCAACTTTGACTGTTCATCTTTAATCACTCAGATTAACCTTACCTGTGAGGCTAATCAAAAATTACAACAAAAAGATGAAGCTTTAATATTTCATGATCAGGTAAGTTAAATTTGACCTCAGGTCAACTTTGTCCTATTAATACAAGTTTCTTAATCTAATGTTAACCTTTATATTTACAACAATCAAAAGGTAAACAATTGAATGTAATCAGTTATTATCTCATGTTGGATGATTGATTATCCTGAATTTTATTATTCTCTCAGTAGATATTATCTCACCTTCAAATTGGTCAAGTAATGGTCAAGATAATATAGTCTCTACCTTAATGTACTGGACATATGAAGATAAGTCCATCATGTCCTGAGGTAGATAAGATGAACATCATTATATTATATTACTATTAGTAGAATTTTCAGTTTTTCTTAGAATTTATCATTCAGTTTTGATTTCTTTTTTTTCTTCCTCAATTCTATACCGATACCTTACAGAATTTTATCTTCATCTTGTCATCTTCCCATTTTCAATTATCCGCTGTTTAGAAAAGTCTAAAAGTTTATTGAATGTAAACACGAATCTCACCTTACAGGGTATCTTTAGATAATATGTTGAAATGATTTTTTTTTCTCTTGAACTTTTCTTTACTTCCAATCAAAAAAACCTTTGAAGCTGCTTAGAGAATCAGAAAAATCAATATAACGATAGGAGAAAAAAGTTCTGTTATGTAACCTGATATTATTCAGGCAATTTCACATATTATATTGAGCTCGATCTTGTTAGAAATTGACTTGACCATCATGTCCAGTTTAACTACCAGTTATATATCAAAGATTCAAATATATTGTTGAGCTTTGAAAACATTACTCACTGAATCGTATATTAATCCTTGATGATTAGGTTTTCAAGTATCATCATGGTTCATGATTGTTTTATATGAAGAAAGGCAAATACTGAGAGAGTGAACTTGAACTAATCATAAGTTTTGGTTGTTTTCTCTTCCTTATCTTCCACAGGGACTCGAATCCCCTGGAGCCAAGATTGAACTATTTGCCGCTGGGACTTACAATGAACAACAATCTGCCTGTGAAGCTTTGGTTGAATTTAGAAATTCATATTTTTCAGAGTCAACTGATTGTTCAGATGAGATATCACAAATTCAGCCAAGGGTAAGGAATATAATCTGAATCATTGATTCTCAAAAATCGAAGAAGAAAAAAAAATTCCAAGTAAACAAAACGAAATCACCAACTAATCTCAATCTTTTATATTCTTATTTCCAATTGGATCGAATCACTTTAACATTTAGATAACTCTTCCTACTCCTCGTAAACCAATTTTACGAAGTTCAAGCTTGGGCAGTTGGGACACGAAAGCATCACCAGCGAATCCAATGTCCCCCAAAGTGACCACTCCGATCGTTAATAACAATAACACAATCGATAGCGTTCGCAGGTCAGGCCGATTCTCGGTCTCTCCAGTTCCGGATTCTGATTCTGTAAGGATGACTGAACTTGCGGCTGCTTATTGAATTAACTTTTTTCAATCCCTCTTTGCACCAATTTCAATTGTTACCTTATTTATTTTTACAATTAACTAATCATAAAAACAAATCAACGACTCACAAAATCAAAATGCATTAATATAATTGATACAAAATTAGTTACTTAATTTTAATTTATATTTTTGTTGTTGCCTTGACCACAATTTTGCTTGACCATAGCATTGAACCAACACCCTCTTATATCATATAATTATTATTTATTTTTAATTACTATTGCAATCAATTAATTATCATCACTTTAAATTTGCAATTTAAACTTTTTCTTACCTTTTAAAACAAATGCAAATTGTTTCCTTAAATTTTCATTTCCTTTTTTACTACAATTTATTAACTACATTATCATTTTAATTACTTGAAACAATTAATTCAACTGGTTTTCAACAATCAACAATCAACAGAAACAATTTAATCTTAATCATTAATCATATTTAATCAAATCATTTGAATCTTTAATATTTTTGCATTTCCGTTTACTGTTATTTTCCTTATACTATTTTTGTTGCTTTTCGTTGATTGTTAACAATTAAGTTGTTCAATTGTTGATTAATTGGACTCGAAAAAAAAGACTAATTAAAATTATATCTTCTTTTTTCCTTCTTTACAAATCGATGATGACGATTGTAACCTTATCCTCCAATTTCATTTGTATCTCTTTATCCCTTGTATCTGGTGTTCAACTCTAACCTTAATCAACTTTAATCAACACCATGATGATGATTATCTTAACCATCATCTTTGTCATGATGATGATATTGATGATTCGTATTAATAATAAACGGCAGCCTCCTCCATCTCACCTTTTGGCATCTTCATCGAGTAAATCACCAAGCCCATCACCTTTATTGTATTCATCATACTCACCTGAGCCGAATTCAATTTATAACCATCACTCCAATTACCACCTTCAATCATCCTCATCTTCATCACTTTACAATAATATATCGACGACACCCTCACCCACAGTGTCACCCCTTCCACCCACTGATCTTCCCACCGCCGATGATAATAATAATCTGATGATGATAACAAAACCTGGACCAAGTGAAGGAAAACCTAAAAAACGGATTAGTTTTGCTCTACCCGCCGATGAAGATATCGGCAGGGGCTGTGGTGGGCAAGATGGAGCCGCTGGTGGTGGTGGTGGAGCTTCCCAAGTATTCAATAAGCTACGTAATCGTCGGATGAGCAGTCCAGCGATTCCAAACAATTCAGCAATGACCAATGTTCAACCCGCTCGACCCAAAATCCCATCGCTTAAAATGTACAAAATTTTAGACGGACTTGACCTCAGATCTTCAGTTCCTCTCTCACCAACTCGACTTTATCAAAGTTTAGGTAAATATAACCTCTTAAAATTAATATTATTCAAACTTAATTGTTCAATCAACAATCAAATTTATTTGTTTTTCATTTCATTCATCATACTTGTAGAGTTTCCAGATTTAATTACATGGAAAGCTCCAACTGAGAAGGAGAAACCTACAATGATTGGAATAACTAATTAGTTTAACAATTAAAATATTGACTATCGATCGATGTAAGTTAATCAATCAATTTAAATCTACGACAATTAATTTTCATTCTCATTTTTGTTTCTTTTTCTCTCAATTTTAGTCAACGAAATTCAACTTCGTTGATGATTGAAAGCAATTTAATTACAGATTAAATCAAGAAGCTAGTAAATTGACTATGATAATGGACTAACAATTGGACACATTATTATCAAAAGTAGAACCGGAACCGGAACTTGGAACGGAAATTGAAAAAAAAACATTGTTAAGATGCTCATGAATAGATAATGAAACTATTGTTTTCCCTGAAAATTACATGAGATTTGAAATTAAGGAAAAAAATTAGAAAACAGAAAAAAGTTTTTCTCAAATTATAAAATCTAAACTCGATCAGCGAAAATAACAAATTACAATTAGCTAATTGTGATTTAAATCAACAAGAATAACAATTTATATTCACTTGGTGATCGAGTTGTTTATGATTGAAATAATTGCGTGTTGATTAAGACAAATTGATCAGGAGACAAATTGATTTTTATTAGTTAATCAATTAGTTTGAACACTTTCAAGTGTATCAATACAATTAGTACAATTAATCAAAACTGGATCAACAATTAAATCCCGTTAAGATGATTTATCATCACTAAATTATTAATCAAATTGTGTTTTTTTTAAATTGTTCAACCAACAATCAACAACAAAGTTTATATTATATCGTGTTAGTATAAGACAATTAATTAATTTGGTGCTTTTTTGTTAATCATCATCACAATCAGTTAATCATATCTTTTTATTTTCTTCCGATTCAATTTACAATTAACTAATTAGGCTCGTATTTTATGATTATCTAAACTATCAAAGGTTAATTATTAGCTAATTAATTATGATGATGATCAAAACTATTAAGTTATTTTTTTCATTCAATGTTTTCAATTGTTTTTAATTGTTGTCAATATTTTGATTGTTTTGATTGTTGTTTAGATAATTAACTAATTTAATTCAGTTGAAACAAATTCTGTTACCTAATTGTACACGTTAATTATTTAATCAACAGTAAAAACTATGCAACAATCAAACTTTAATTTAATTAAAAAAACTATTATTCAAAAACTAAATTGTTATCGATTGATTTTTTTCCGATTATCAAAATAATTATAATCAAAAGCAATTTAATCACATCCTTGATCACTAACAATTAAGCTCGTAATTACAATCAATTATACTTATTGCCTTTTAATAAAATGCCAAAGCCTCAGGCAATTCACTGATTGTTCAGCTTAATCATTTTCAAATGACAATCATTCATCTCAATCTTGGATCAAAGTTAATTGTTAGCTATTAGTTTAATCATTATCATCTAAATATTAGACATTAATCATCATCGAGTTAAACAAAATGCTAAATTAAAAATGAATGTAATTTAATTGTGATAATTAAAATTTTCTGATTGACAATTTAACCCGAAAGTTTAAAATCAGTTGATCAAAAATTAACATTATTCAGTTAATTAACTTTATCTATTTGGTCCAATTGATTGTAGACTAATACCTTAGGCTATTATCGTAAGTTTCTTTATTTGTTTCGTCATGATTTACATTTGGTTTTCAATCTTTATTCATTTTTAATTCTTTCTTCTACAGGGCAATTCAGCTACTTTGTTGGTTTTCTTTTCACGCTTACTCAAAAACAACTTGACCGATACTCAATTGTCATATTTCAAGGTCATCAAGGTTATTCATGAAAGAACGCACTTGAAGGTCATTTGAAGAACTTTTTAAAAACAAGAGAACTTTCATGAATAACCTTTATGACCTTGAAATACAATTGACATAAGACAAAATATGGACCCTATCGGTCAAGTAGATTTTAGCTGAACGAAAAGGAGTTGAGCAAGATGTATAATCGTCAACAATTTGTTTTATTAGCTTTGGGTTTGATGTGAAGGTTCATAGAGACTTAAAGATCAAATCCTAATAACTCTAAACTAGCGTAAGTGAAAAAGGAATTACAAATGTATCATTTACTCGACAATCGATCATTACTTCTAACCCTTTGTAGAACTTTTTTATTTTACTTTACAGTGTCACGTGCGGATCATGAGAATGCTGATTGTTTGGTTTTGTGCATTTCCACACACGGAAATCCGGAACACTTAATTGCCAAAGATAGCCTTTATGATGCTAAATTACTCTTGAAATATCTCAACGCAAAAAAGGTGCCCATCACTGGCTGGGAAACCAAAATTACTCTTTATTCAGGTAAAGTTATTAGTCGATTATCTGAATTTTCTGTTGCATCTGAATTGTATTGGTTGACGCTCCGATTCGTAAAACTATCCCGATCATGGCGGATTTTTTGGTTGCATACTCTAGTTGGCTTGACTTTATGTCTTATCGGAATACTATAAATGGATCAATTTTCCTTCAAACCTTGGCCAAGCTGCTAAAAATATATGGAGATAAACTTTCACCAGTTGACGTGATCACGATGATGAATGATGAAGTCGCGTATGACTATGCGACAATTAATAAGGGAAAAAAGCACAACACAGTGTTCACCTCAATATGGTGAATTGCGATGCTTTAATTTAATTTAATCAGCAATTTAAATTGTAATTTAAATTGGCGACCTTGAATCTAGATGAGCAATTTGATAAACTGATTAACCATTGACTGGTAATAAATTTAAATCTAACCAATAGATGGCGATTCATACACTTGATTGTTTTTTGTTTCTCGTTTTTTTTTGATTATATAATTTAATTTTGTTTGATTAAATTAAACTTGACAATCATTGAACGAGTCAGCAAGAAATTAATCAACCAAATAGGAATCAGTTAATTTGATTGTCAGCAAATTTGCCACAAAAAGAAACAATCAAAAGTGTAAAAGGTTAACAGTGAAAATGTTGATTCAAGAAATAAACAAAACTTAGTGATCAGTTTGAGTCTACAATTTAATCAACAATAAACTAATCAAATCATTTAATTTCCATCCATCAATCAATCACAATTATCTAATCAGTATAATTATAATCATCATAGGAACCAGACTGGAATCTGATATAGTGAATGAAGGGAGGAAAAAAGTTCTCATTCAAATATTATCGTTATTCTGAAGGAAAAAAAAGTTCATTGGGAATCGAATGATTTTTTTACATCTAAATCCTCATGAATGTTATTCAATAGGGGAACCATTAGTTTTTCTTATGATTATGGTGGTTGATAACAACCAAAGATAATCTGGTAACCTGAATAATCACCAGATTCTGATGGTTATTATCACAATCACATGTTAATATTAATTTCTATCAGGGAATCGAACTGAGTAAGAAGAAGGGAAAAAAGTTCTTCATCATTATCATAACAATATGAGAATACGAATGGAGGAAAAAGTGATAACATAGAAAAAAAAGTAATTGGCTTGGAATTTTTTTCTTCTTCCTTTATTCTTTTTATCTCTTCCTTCGTATATTTTCATGATGGAACAGAAAAATGAGTAAAAAAAGAAAATTCGACGTTTCGAAAATCAATGCTAATGGAAATATATATTATTACATTAAGAGAATTATTCGAACCTTAACCTCCTCCTATTCCCACTAAGACGTGGATGTTAACTCTGTATTCGTCCTATTATTGGACATTCAGAACTCGAAGAGAAACGATCAGGATTTTTATTCTCATTCTTCATCATTTTTTTTTCTCGAAACTTTCAAAAGAGCTGAAACTCTAATAATCTCGAGCTCATTTCCGCTTATGAATAATATGAATAATTGGAACTAAATTTCCAGGGTAAACTTGGTATTCTCCATGTAAGTATATGCACGTTTCATTCAATTCCAACTGATGGTTCAGGATTTATCATGATTATCACTTGATTCTTAAAGATACTTTTTTTCACAAAGACATTGATTGATCATCAAATTTAAGAATTGATAAGTTGATGATAATATTTTTTCTTTAAAAAAGTTCATCAGAAAAAAAACTGCAAATTCTGAAAATTTTTCCAACACAAGGAAACACCAAACCAGTACAAATTTCATGGTATTTGCTTATAATCATGAAAATCTTGCTTGATTAACAGTAAATGTCCCTGATTGTATCAGAAACAGCAATCGGATAAACCTCACAACCTTATCATGGCTTCAACCATGAAGCATCACCATGGAGCCCAAAGTGCTATCTGAATAAGTGATAAATAAATTGTTTTCCCTGAAAATTATCAATCTTTTCATATCAATGTTTGAGTTTCTAAATAACTTTCATCCATTAACATTAAATGTTAGACAACAATTGCCAATCCATTACAAATGAATCTACGAAAGGTATAAAGTGAAACAATGGGTGATAAAGATGAAGATGATAATAATGATGATGAAAACTCTTTTTTCTCTCTTGTTGTTCCTGAGAGTTTCCATCAACTCTGAACATATACAAGAGAATAAAGTAAAAAAGCTACAACATTCGAAGTTAGAACTTTTTTTTCCATCTTGTTCTTATTACTCTCGTTCTTTTTGCTATTCTAATGGATCTGCATCCTTTTCCTCATCTTCTAACAGATGATGAAGATGAAAACCCTTTGATCCTGTAAATGTTTTCTCTTTAAGGTTACAACGTGCCAATGGAACTTGATATTTATATAGAAAAGTTTGTTTTCATCTTCGATCACAGTTTTCGAAGTGAACAAAATATTGACTCGACTTTCACTCGAACCAATGTTATTATTAATGTTTCATTATTAATAATATCTCACACTGTTCAGGGCAATCAATTCTTACTCATTTTATTACTTATGCTTTTCAATGGAGAAATGATTGGTTGAGTAAGATGAAGATGAAGGATGAGGATGAAAGATGAAGGAAAATCGAGAGAGAGAAAAAAGTTTCGAAAAACATGTCGACTCGAACTGTGACATACGGTTCACATGCTGTTGGCTCTCCATCCATCAAGTCATCTTTACATTGATCCTCTTTTTTTTCATCAGCATCTTCATCTTCATCTCTTCTTGATAAGTGTTCAGCTTAACTGAACTTGACATGAAGCATCAATAACATCAAACAACAAACCGAAAACTTTGTTAACTTGTAAGTCAAAATGTGATTGGTTAAAATCATACTTTTCATCATCATCTTAATCTTCACCATTTTTCATCTTCTCACATGATGTTAAAACTTTTAACTGACCATTGGTCATATCGATTCTTATTTTTTTTCCTCACGAGGAAAAAGGTATTCAGACAAACAGAATATCTGTCATGTTAAAAATCAATTCAACTGATGAGGAAGATGAAGATCAGGTCGTCATCATCATGTTTCGACAATCCTTTTACTTGTAATAGAATCCATATCATCATTAAATCACTTCGACTTTTGTTCATCTCTCGAAACTTTTTTCTTCCTCTTTTAAAAGTTTCTGTCTTTGAGTTCTCTATTATAGTGAATTCATCATCATCATCATCAACAACAACAGTAAACTGAGTAAAAACCCACCGAGAACCATGAAGATGATGAATTCACCCTGAACGTTTTGTTTGGTCAGAAACCTGAATGACCAACAACAGTAAGAATAAAGGTCGAGTCCATCACGAACATCTTGAGTTTAGCTTTTTACTTGATCATCATGTTTATCATCAGAATCTTCATTTCATCTTATCATATATAAGAATCAGTATTAAGAGTAATCATTATCCCAAGTGATTACCGTTTGTTTTGTCACAAAGTTACAACCAGAAAACTCAGGAAACAAGTAAACAAGCAAACATGGAACCAGAACCATGATAGATGTTCATATATCATGTGTTTACTCATCCACAGTTAGTTCTAGTTCAAATTCAGTGTTCACATGAGTATCTCTATCTGTGTATATGTGTGAGTGTGTAAGTGAGTGTCTCATGGTATTGATAATCTCAAGTTAACTCATTAAACAAAAGGTAACAAACCTTTGAATCAATTTCATGATGATTCAGACTTCTTATATTAAAGTCTCAGTGTAATTCAATCAACTTTCACCCAGCATCAAATTCAAGCACCAAGTCCACTCTAATCAAAACTCAGGGTGATGGATTAATAATATGAAATAATAGGAAGACCAGAAAGTCACCTCATGAATTTTTATCATCATCTTTCTGAATTTATATCAAACACCATGAAAAAACTTCGCAATTGATTAATGATCCATTTATCCTCTGATAATATTACAAAGGCAAAGATGATAATGATGATAAGCTTATAATGATAAATATAACAGAAAAGTCAATGGTTTTTTTATTATTAAAAAAAGTTCAGTGTTTATGACTGAAAAC